CGTTTATTTATTAACACAACGGGGTAACAATGTAACCACTTGACCAATCGCGATATAGGGTGGTAACCACCACGGGTAACTACGTAACCACTCGACGGGATAACGATACAAGCGGACCAGGTCAGCTAACACCCTGCCTGGTCCACGGTGCCGTGCGCAAAGACCGAAGAGCGAAGAGACAGCCGACGGATTCCGCTCCCAGAGACGAACATCCAAGATCGCTCTCGGAGACTCTGGGCAACACGTCACGTGTCCCTCTCACCTCCTCTCTGGCCCTCGTTACCACCTCGTCCGGTGACGTGCCCTCTGGTGGTTCACCCAGACTGTCATGTCCCCTCTCTCTCTCGCTGTCACCCGAACTGTGCCCCCTGGGGGCCCTTCCGTTCCGTACTCATCCCAGAGCGAGAGAGAGGCCTCCACACCTACAGTAGCCGCCCTTCCCTCGGCACTGGCGCTACACCAAAGTGACTCCATACACGCCACGACACGTCCATACATACCGACACTGGACACATCGAGTTGTGGCGATGTGTGCCTAACACGTCACACTCCGCACGTGACACTCTGCACGTGGCACTCTGCACGTGGCACTCTGCACGTGGCACTCTGCACGTGGTACTCTGCACGTGGCACTCTGCACGTGACACTCTGCACGTGGCACTCTGCACGTGGCACTCTGCACGTGGTACTCTGCACGTGGCACTCTGCACGTGACACTCTGCACGTGGCACTCTGCACGTGACACTCTGCACGTGGCACTCTGCACGTGACACTCTGCACGTGGCACTCTGCACGTGACACTCTGCACGTGGCACTCTGCACGTGGCACTCTGCACGTGGCACTCTGCACGTGGCACTCTACACGTGGCACTCTGTACGTGACACTCTGCACGTGACACTGTGCACGTGGCACTCTGCACGTGACACTCTGCACGTGACACTCTGCACGTGACACTCTGCACGTGGCACTCTGCACGTGACACTCTGCACGTGACACTCTGCACGCTGCCTGTAACGCTGCTGGCTCGGCTGCGTGGATTTTCATGCAACTTTAAATATTTAAGTTTTTTATGAAAAGGCTTTTTAGTACTCACTCTCACTCTGCTGGTCTCACCCTGCTGGTCTCACTCTGACCCTGCTGGTCTCACTCTGCTGGTCTCTGCTGGTCTCACTCTGCTGGTCTCTGCTGGTCTCACTCTGACCCTGCTGGTCTCACTCTGACCCTGCTGGTCTCACTCTGCTGGTCTCACTCTGCTGGTCTCACTCTGCTGGTCTCTGCTGGTCTCACTTTGACCCTGCTGGTCTCACTCTGCTGGTCTCTGCTGGTCTCACTCTGCTGGTCTCACTCTGCTGGTCTCTGCTGGTCTCACTCTGCTGGTCTCACTCTGCTGGTCTCACCCTGCTGGTCTCACTCTGCTGGTCTCTGCTGGTCTCACTCTGCTGGTCTCACCCTGCTGGTCTCACTCTGCTGGTCTCTGCTGGTCTCACCCTGCTGGTCTCTGCTGGTTTCTGCTGGTCTCACCCTGCTGGTCTCACTCTGCTGGTCTCACTCTGCTGGTCTCTGCTGGTCTCACCCTGCTGGTCTCTGCTGGTCTCACTCTGCTGGTCTCTGCTGGTCTCACTCTGCTGGTCTCACTCTGCTGGTCTCACTCTGCTGGTCTCACTCACAGGGTGACGAGGACCCGGGGACTCGCACCAGGGGACTCATCACGGTGGAGACCAGCGTGGACAGGCGAGACAGCGGCGTCATCGTTGTCATCGTCGCCGTCGTCATCGTCGTCATCGTCGTCATCGTCGTCATCGTCACCGTCGTCATCGTCATCGTCACAGTCACTATGATCACCATGACGACGACCTTCATCATTGTCACCCATCTCTTCTCCCCGAGCCCCCACGCCCCAGCTACGACCACGTCTACCCCAACCCCTACCCCTGGACCTTAACCCCTACCCCAACCCCAACCCCTACCTTAACCCCTACCCCAACCCCTACACAAACCCTTACACAAACCCCTACCCCAACCCCTATCACTACCCCAACCCCTGGACCTTAACCCCTACACAAACCCCTACACAAACCCCTACACAAACCCCTATCACTACCCCTACCCCAAACCCTACCACAACCCCTACCCAAACCCCAACCCCTATCACTACCCCTACCCCAACCCCTATCACTACCCCTATCACTACCCCAACCACTATCCCTATCACTACCCCTATCACTACCCCTATCACTACCCCAACCCCAATTCCTACTGCAACCCCTACCCAACCCCCTACACAAACCCCTATCACTACCCCTACCCCAAACCCTACCCCAACCCCTACCCCAACCCCAACCCAAACCCCAACCCCTATCACTACCCCAACCCCAACCCCTATCACTACCCCTATCACTACCCCAACCACTACCCCAACCACTACCCCAACCCCTATCACTACCCCGACCCCTTCCACAACCCCTACCCCAACCCCAACTCCTATCACTACCCCAACCCCTACCCCAACCCCAAACACTACCCCTATCACTACCCCTATCACTACCCCTATCACTACCCCTATCACTACCCCAACCACTACCCCAACCACTACCCCAACCCCTATCACTACCCCGACCCCTTCCACAACCCCTACCCCAACCCCAACTCCTATCACTACCCCTACCCCAACCCCAAACACTACCCCTATCACTACCCCTACCACTACCCTAACCCCTACCACTACAGCAACCCTTACCCCTCGTCAATATGCGTTGTTATAATAACGAGGTGGTGTGTTGTGACGTGGTGTGTTGGGTTGTGGTGTGTTGTGACGCAGTGTGACGTGGTGTGACTCTGTGTGTTGTAGTGTGTTGTGATGTGGTGTGACGTGGTGTGACTGTTGTGGTGTGTTGTGACGCGGTGTGTTGTGGGTGTGTTGTGACGCGGTGTGACTCTGTTGTTGTGTGTTGTGACTCTGTGTGTTGTGGTGTGTTGTGACGCGGTGTGACGTGGTGTGTTGTGACGCGGTGTGACGTGGTGTGACTCCGTGTGTTGTGGTCTGTTGTGACGCGGTGTGACGTGGTGTGACGTGGTGTGACTCCGTGTGTTGTGGTGTGTTGTGACGCGGTGTGACGTGGTGTGGCTGTGTGTTGTGGTGTGTTGTGACGCGGTGTGACGCAGTGTGTTGTGGTGTGTTGCAACGCGGTGTGACGTGGTGTGACGCAGTTTGACGTGGTGTGACGCAGTGTGACGTGGTGTGACGCGGTGTGTTGTGGTGTGACGCGGTGTGACGTGGTGTGACTGTGTGTTGTGGTGTGTTGTGACGTGGTGTGACGTGGTGTGATGTGATGTGACGCGGTGTGCTGTGACGTGGTGTGACGTGGTGTGACGCGGTGTGACTGTGTGTTGTGACGTGGTGTGACGCGGTGTGTTGTGGTGTGACGCGGTGTGACTCGGTGCAGGGCTGACCGGGAGGGAGTGGGGGGGTTGGAGTTTGGCAGCGTTGCGACCCTGAGAGTGAGATCAGAGAGTGGAGAGGAGCGATACCTCCTCCGGATGGAGGCCACACAGACAATCACTCACCTACGTGCTTACCTGGACACTCACAGGTACACACACACAGACAATGGCTCACTTACGTGCTTACCTGGACACTCACAGGTACACACACACACATTCACTCACCTACGGGCTTACCTGGACACTCACAGATACACACACACACAATCACTCGCCTGCGGGCTTACCTGGACACTCACAGGTACACACACACACACACACCATCACTCACCTACGTGCTTACCTGGACACTCACAAGTACACACACACCATCACTCACCTACGGGCTTACCTGGACACTCAGTTACACACACACACACCATCACTCACCTAAGGGCTTACCTGGACACTCACATGTACACACACACAGACACCATCACTCATGGTTCACGTGCTGTGTTCGTCATGGGTCACGTGCTGTGTTTGTCATTGTTCACGTGCTGTGTTCGCCATTGTTCACGTGCTGTGTTCGTCATGGGTCACGTGCTGTGTTCGCCATTGTTCACGTGCTGTGTCCGCCAGCTCCAGGCTGGGGCGGTCTCCACGCTACGAGCTGCTCAGCGGCTTCCCTCCGCGCGTCTGCGACGACGCCTCGGCCTCGCTGGACAGCCTCGGCCTGGTGCCCAGCGGCACGCTGCTCATGCGAGCCGCTGGGCGCCAGGCCACGGCTGCCCGGGCTACAGCGCCGTAAACCTACAGCGCAGAGACCTACAGCACAGAGACCTACAGCACAGAGACCTACAGCACTGTGACCTACAGCACAGAGACCTTCAGCACAGAGACCTACAGCACAGAGACCTACAGCGCAGAGACCTACAGCACAGAGACCTACAGCGCAGAGACCTACAACACAGAGACCTACAACACAGAGACCTACAGCACAGAGATCTACAGCGCCGTAAACCTACAGCACTGAGACCTACAACACAGAGACCTACAGCACAGAGACCTACAGCGCAGAGACCTACAACACAGAGACCTACAGCACAGAGACCTACAGCGCAGTGACCTACAGCACAGAGACCTACAGCACTGTGACCTTCAGCACAGATACCTACAGCACTGTGACCTACAGCACAGAGACCTACAGCACTGTGACCTTCAGCACAGATACCTACAGCACTGTGACCTACAGCACAGAGACCTACAGCACTGTGACCTACAGCACAGAGACTTACAGCGCAGTGACCTACAGCACAGAGACCTACAGTGCAGTGACCTACAGCACAGAGACCTACAGTGCAGTGACCTACAGCACAGAGACCTACAGTGCAGTGACCTACAGTGCAGAGACCTACAGCACAGAGACCTACAGCACTGTGACCTTCAGCACAGAGACCTACTGCACAGAGACCTACAGCACAGAGACCTACAGCACAGAGACCTACAGCACAGAGACCTACTGCACAGAGACCTACAGCACAGAGACCTACAGCGCAGAGACCTACAGCACAGAGACCTACAGCACTGTGACCTACAGCACAGAGACCTACAGCACAGAGACCTACAGCACTGTGACCTACAGCACAGAGACCTACAGCACAGAGACCTACAGCACTGTGACCTACAGCACAGAGACCTACAGCACAGAGACCTACAGCACTGTAACCTACAGCACAGTGACCTACAGCACAGAGACCTACAGCACAAAGACCTACAGCACTGTGACCTACAGCACAGAGACCTACAGCACAGAGACCTACAGCACTGTGACCTACAGCACAGAGACCTACAGCACAGAGACCTACAGCACTGTGACCTACAGCACAGAGACCTACAGCACTGTGACCTACAGCACAGAGACCTACAGCACTGTGACCTACAGCACAGAGACCTACAGCACTGTGACCTACAGCACAGTGACCTACAGCACAGAGACCTACAGCACCGTGTCCTGTAGGACAGAGACCTACAGCACTGTGACCTACAGTACAGAGACCTACAGCACAGAGACCTACAGCACTGTGACCTACAGCACAGAGACCTACAGCACTGTGACCTACAGCACAGAGACCTACAGCACTGTGTCCTACAGCGCACACGTCTGTAGGACATGGGTGTACAGCATAACGGGTCTCTCCGATGTGTCTTTCGGATCGTGCCGCGACGTCATTCGGCACATTGTCCCGACGTTTCGCGCCTCCCCCCCCACCCACGCGCCCGGGGATTTTCTGCCGAGCTCATCTCAAGCCACCCGCAGGAAGTTCCGCGTGGAGCGCGAAGCGTTCCGGGACATCATTCCGGGCAAGCGCACCGACGCCGCAGAGTTGAAGCCGCGTCGGTGACATCGCCCTCCACCTGCCCGTGGGTCAAAGCAGGGAGGTCGGGGGGGGGGTATACGTACGCAACAATGTTAAGTCTCAAAATAAATAGTGAAATAAACGAAGGTTGTCTTCTCCCATCTCGGAAGCGCGGCGTCGCGTGCCGTTTCACCTGGCGGCTTGGGCTCGCGTCGATCACGGTGAGCTCTAAACCTCTTTCTTCACCGGGGTCGTGTCCAGAGGGAGCGGTGACGCTTCGCCGAGATGGTCCAGGAACCGTGTTCTTCCAGGGGGTGCCACGGTGGCTAGATGTTGACTGCCTCGCCTGGTATGCAGGTGGTCGTGGGTTCGATCCCGTCCCTTGACGCCTGCTGCTGTATACAGGGTGTTTCAAAATGATGGACTGGATTTGGAATTGCTATATCTCTGCAACCACGAACTGCCCATGAATGAAACTCTGACCACTTGAAAGGGCGGGGTATAGAGAGGGCGGGGTATAGAGAGGGCGGGGCATAGAGAGGGCGGGGCATAGAGAGGGCGGGGCATAGAGAGGGCGGGGCATAGAGTTTAAAATGATGACCGCTCGATGCCTCTCCCAGCGCACAAACAGCCCCTAGCCTCAGTCACTCTGTAGATGGTGACCCCAGCACACAAACAGCCCCTAGCCTCAGTCACTCTCTAAATGGTGACCCCAGCGCACAAACAGCCCCTAGCCTCAGTCACTCTCTAGATGGTGACCCCAGTGAACACAAACAGCCCCTTAGCCTCAGTCATTCTCTAGATGGTGACCCCAGCACACAAACAGCCCCTAGCCTCAGTGATTCTCTAGATGGTGACCCCAGAACACAAACAGCCCCTAGCCTCAGTCATTCTCTAGATGGTGACCCCACGATACAAACAGCCCCTAGCCTCAGTCATTCTCTAGATGGTGACCCCAGTGAACACAAACAGCCCCTAGCCTCAGTCATTCTCTAGATGGTGACCCCAGCACACAAACAGCCCCTAGCCTCAGTCACTCTCTAGATGGTGACCCCAGTGCACAAACAGCTCCTAGCCTCAGTCATTCTCTAGATGGTGACCCCAGCTCACAAACAGCCCCTATAGCCTCAGTGATTCGCAAGACAGTGACCCTCGCAACACAAGGGGCGTTTTGCGTTCTGCGGTTCGGCAAGAGTGAATCCGTGATTGCGGTGTGGCGTGCGTTTCAACGGCGTTGTGGCATCGATCCGCCGATGTCAAAGAGCGTTCGTCGTTGGTGCCGACGATTTGAGGACACGGGCTGCTGTTGATGTAAGGGGAAAGGCACGGGGCGACCACGCACATCAGAGGGAAACGTGAGAAGAGAGGCGTCTGGGACGAATTCAACTATCGTCTCTCGATGTTGTCGCGTACAGCAGGTGGAGGGCACACGTAGAGCATTTATAAAATGGTTGGTAAAACTTGGTAACTCATTAAACCGTAACTTTTCGTGTAATTGTAACATGTTGCCATCGTGAAATATACTGCTTTGAAATTGGGTCCATGTATTTCAAACACCCTGTATTTGGAGTTAGCTCTCTATATGGCCGCATGGGCTTTTCTCCGGGTCCTCCGGGTTTTCCCTCCACATTTAGGATCGACGTTTGGCTGCTATAAAGATCCACGTGACGATGGGCCACTTCGTTGAGCCATCATTCGTGATGGACCAGGCCGTTTCTGACAAAAAAGAGCGACATTTATAAGCGGTGGGGCCTTACCTGGCAAAATAAAAAAAATAGTTTATAGTTTGAATCTTGATTTGAAGCTTTCGTGACTGCAGGAATCCACACTCTTTGGTTCTTTCGGTAAAGTCATCACGTAGGTAGAAAAATAATAATAGATCACGACGTTTCGATCGCCACACAAGCAATCGTCTTCAGGTGAGATCAACACAGCAGGTGAACTGCTGACGAAGGAGAAAGAGCTGCTGCAACAAGAAGTTATACAAGGTAGGAGACAAGCTGCTGATGCAGGCTGCTTCTAAACGGTAGAAATGGGCATAGCCCAATAGTTATAAACGACTGCTGAGAGTGAGACAAGGGGGGGGGGGGGGGCATAGATAATCGGTGGCAGGGGGAGAGAGAAGCTGTGTTAGTGAATGTGACTCAGAGAGTCGACGATAGCTGCTAACGGCGGGTAGGAAGGGCATAGCCAGTTATGACCTAAACTGGTTAATAACGTCCTTCCAATGATTGCTCAGTTTGTACCCATCTTCCTGGTTGAAATTGTGTCTGTGTTTATATATTTGGTGGTAGCCCGATGGTTTGCAGAGTACCTTGGTAGGAAAAAAATATCGTGCGAACCCACAGCGTTGAAAGTGATCAGCCACGGCAGAGGTATTGGTTCTGTCGTGTTTCAAATCTGCATTGTGTTCGCGAACACGGTCCAAGACATGTCGTTTCGTTTCCCCGATGTAACTGCTGCCGCAGACACAACTTAGTTTGTAGACACCAGGGTATTGCATGTCAGGAATCACATCCTTCACAGATGGGATCAAATCACGGATTTTGTGTACTGTGTTGAATCGAACCTGGATCTTGTGTATGCTCATGATTTTGGAAATCTTTTTGGCAACACCTGCTATGTATGGCAAGGTGATGGTTTTGATTGGGTCTTCAGATGGTTCTCTCCCTATGGTTGGGGATACAGCTTTGTGGATTGTGCAGTCTGAATATCCATTCATCTTGAGGGCCTGGTGTACGTGTTCAAGCTCACTGGTTAGGTGGTGTTGGTCCGGGATGCAACGGGTCCTATGGTGTAGTGTTTTGATGAGGGAATTCTTCTGGGCTGGTCGTGGGAATCAGGTTTTAGATAGCAATCCGTGTGGGTGGCTTTCCTGTAGACAGAATGTCCCAACGAGTCATCAGGTCTCTTCTCGATCAAAACATCCAGGAATGGTAGCTTGCCATCATTTTCCACTTTCATGATTAATTTGATGGATGGGTGTATGGAGTTGATGTGGTTGAAAAATTGGTTTAGTGCTGGCTGGCCATGTGGCCAGATGACGAAAGTGTCATCTACGTATCTCTTCCACAAGGACGTAGGGTGGATGTCAGGATGACGTTTCAAATTTCTCTAAGAAAACATTCGCTACCACTGGCAATAAGGGAGAACCCATAGGGGTACCTTCATTTTGTTTGTAGAATTCACCATTCCAGGTGAAGTAAGTGTTGGTAAGGCAGTGCCTCACCAAACTTGGTACATCAGGATTCAGCCCCTGCTGGACCAAGTCTTCAATGATTGCAATGGTGTCAGGCACAGTTACCTTGGTGAACAGAGAGACTACATCGAAACTGACAAGCAAATCATCCGGAGACAGTGAGATGTCCTTGATTAGAGAACCCAAGTTAGTTACGTACAGCTGAGGTAGTCTACCGTTTAGAAGCAGCCTGCATCAGCAGCTGGCCTCCTACCTTACATAACCTCTTGTCGCAGTAGCTCTTTCTCCTCCGTCAGCAGTTCCCCTGCTGTGTTGATCTCACCTGATGACGATTGCTTGTGTTGCGATCGAAACGTCGTGATCTATTATCTTTTCTACCTACTACGTGACTTCATAGTCTTAGTTTGGCGGCCTGGGCCAACTTGAGCAGGGCGGGGCGTCGCCTCAGCGCAGTCACAGCAACGGTCGGCCAGCACGCGGTGTCGCGGGGTCGCCATTGGGACGCGCCCAGTGGCGGCTCGCAGACGCCCGACGACGACGCGGCAGGCAAAAGAGCGAGTCCACGAGGGCGGGGAGAAAACAACGACTCGTAGCTTTTATCATGAATTGCACTTGAATTGTGGTAATACAGAGAGGCATGGAAGCTTCCCCGACCCCTCGTCCGCTGCCGGCACCGGCCCATCCCGCAGCACGACGCTCGGCGGCGGCGGTGCGGGGCGCGGCAATGCGCGCGCCCCGGCTAAAGCGGCGGCGACCGCGCAACGCCGCACGGAGTACCCTGCAGAGTCTAACAATGAACACTTAATCGCTAACTTCCTGTACACGACGGTGGCGACGTCGGACGCCGCCGCCCCCCCCCCCTCCCCACGGGTCCAAGGCGTTTGCCCGCGGCGGTGACGGGGGTACCGGGACGGGGACACGCGCGCGGCCTGTGGCGAGCGGGTGAGCTGCCCCACGCCCACGGTGGGTGTTCGAGACGCCGGCACCGCGCGGAGCCCTCGTCTCTGCGGACGCCGTGGCCTCGGTCGCGCCGCTCCATCGCGGGGCGCTTGCCCGACGTGAATAATCGCGGCGGCGGCGGAGGCCGCGGTAAATTAAACAACAACAAAAAAACGATAACAGATTGAGGAGGTTGTTTTCACGCGGCTGGGTCACCGGGCGTGGGTTTGGTTGTGAAGGCACGATCGCTGGGAGGTATTTTATATATTTAGATTTTTTTTTGTCCTCTGAGATAAAGCTTTCGGGGGGGGGGGGGGGGAGAGATCAGAAAACAAAACTAAAACCACCCCCCCCCCTGCGCCCGCCAAAAAAAGAAGTGAAACGCTGGCACGCAGAGAGAGAGAGACGTTGCGCTGCTTACTCGCTCGCCCACAGCCGCCGGTGCGTGCCGCCGGCCTTGCCTAGACCACCAGCTCACGGGAGCTCAACGCGTGGCCGTCCGGCGTCGTTCCGAGCACGAGAGACCTACATTTTATATCTTACACAACAACAACAATCATTGTCATCATCGGTTACGTATTTCTCTTCTTGGTTATGCTTCTTATTTTAAATCCTTTTTTACATTACCAATCGAAGGTATAATTTTTGTTGTAAAAATTTATCTGGCCATTACAAACAGCACCCCCCCCCACCCCCACCCCCACCCCCCCGTAAAATTATTCTCGCGCTGCGTCGACCGACAATTCCAAACTCTACGACCATTTTAAAACGAACGCTTATACACCACAACTAAAGTCAGCGCTGTGCGCGCGGGAGGGCGGAACGGGTGTCGGGAATGGACGGCCGATCCCAGGCAGTGGATTGATATTTTACTTCATGCCAAGCGATGAGATTCGGGTGTATACATTTGAGCTCTTCTACCTCGGAAACTTCGCCACGATTTTGGACATTTTGTCACGGCGGCGTCTTCTCGGCGACGGCGGCGTCGCCGGCGTGCGACGACGCTTCCGGCGGGGGGCCCTGCTAAGATTTCACAGTCGGGGGGAAGGCGACGTTGCTGCTGTGTGCGAGATCCTCTAGCCGAGTCATTCGCGGGTCAATTTTTTTTTTTGCAGCACTGGGATATTTGTTTGGCCGATAGCGGTTACACCGTTGCGGTTCCGACTCAATAGATTTCCTTCGCTCAGAGTGGACGCCGGTCAAGCTCGCGGCCCAACACAGCCAACCACACCCCTTCCCCGCACCGAGCGAGCACCCACACAGCGATCGCAGCAGCAGCGGCGGCAGCAGCGGCAGCAGCGGCGGCAGCAGCAGCAGCGCCCGTCGATTCAAGTTTCATCGCGAAAACGCAGACAGTGATTCCGACGTCACAGCACGCACGCGGGGCGAGGAGTTCGCGAGCCCGCGTCGCCATCCTTCATCGAACCTTCCCGGGGGTTAGGGCCGCGTGACGACGTGGACCCACGCGTGTCGTCAAATTGCCGACTAACGGATCGCCCCGGGGGCTTCGTCGCCCACACGGTCGTCGAGGGTCTCGACCTGTGGAGGGTGGGGTGGTGGTGGTGGTGGAGACGACAGCTCTCGTGCGCACAGCGGGAGGGAGAGACTCGGGGTGGCTCCTCCACGGACGGGGTCCACACGCCCGCCCCCCCCCCAACGGGGAGCAGCAAACCGAGCCGCTCGCGAAACCGCGCCGCTCAAAATCCGCGCCCCGCCCGCTGCTCCGTCCGTCCGTCCGGTGCACGCAAACGAGGACGGCTGCGTAAAGCATCCCAAGCACAGACGAACCAACCCCACCGGCTCCTATTTTACATCGCCGGGGTTCATTACGGGAACATTTCTCGCTTCAGCTTTGTCCGCAATAGGCCACGGATCTGTTTAGCGACGGCGGCAGGGGCAGCAGCGGCAGCCGGCGTTCCAGGGCGTGCGTGGATCGCGGGGGGGGGGGGGGGGGGCGGGGGGTCGCCTCGTGGGGGGCCCCTGACATCCGTTTTTCTTGTGCCCACGGGACCCCGCCCGACCCGCATCCGGACTTTCGGTTTCACTCGTCCCCAAGCCGCGGAGCGGCGGTCGCGGACGGTCGCTCGGTAAAATAAAATAAAAAAAAATAATGAGTCGCTAAAATGCAAATCCGAGGCCTGGTCTGGCAGCGAACGCTTTGTGCACTCCTCACGGCACGGCGCTTCGGCGCACGCGGTCGAGCAAATCCGCGCGCGGCTGGTAAACGTCGTCAGCAGCAGCAGCATCAACAACAACAACAAACAACAACAAACACCGCCACGAGTCATCATTTACAGGCGTGGAGGTTGTGCAGCGATGGAACCGAGTGGCTGAGGAAAGGAGAGAGCGGAGGGGCGTCTCAGTGTGGGAGTGATGATCTGTGGGCGACAGCTGGGATGGCACGGGGGGGGGGGGGGCGGGGGGGGGAGGTAGACACTGGGAGCCTGCATCGACCAAACGTCCCCACACCGCCCCCCCCTCCTCACCAGCAGCTCAGGTGAGGGGCTAGGTCTAAGTAGCATGGAGGGAGAGGAGGGAGGAGGGAGAGAGGAGGGAGGGGAGGGAGGGGAGGGAGGGGAGGGGAGAGAGGGAGGGGAGGGAGGGGGGGGAGAGGAGGGAGAGGAGGGAGAGAGGAGGGAGAGGAGGGAGAGGAGGGAGGGGAGGGAGAGGAGGGAGGGGAGGGAGAGGAGGGAGAGGAGGGAGGGAGGAGGGAGAGAGGAGGGAGAGGAGGGAGAGGAGGGAGGGGAGAGAGAGAGGAGGGAGAGGAGGGAGGGGAGGGAGAGAGGAGGGAGGGGAGGGAGAGGAGGGAGGGGAGGGAGGGGAGGGAGGGGAGGGAGAGAGGAGGGAGGGGAGGGAGGGAGAGAGGAGGGAGAGGGGCGGCTGTGGTTTTGGACTCACAGAGAGCTTTACGAGGGGGCACGTTGAGGTAGAGAACGGGGAGATGATGGGGGGGGCTGGATAGGTGACGTAATACTTCCCTTTGGGGGGGGCTAGGGTGTAGGGTGTGGGGTGTGCGAGCTTTGCTAACAGCGCTTGCCCCAGCAGTCTGTTAAGGTTATACGGGGGATCTTTGTCTTTTGTCTTCATGCGTGCGTGTGTGTGTGTACGCGTGTGTACACGTGGCCTCAAGGTGCACATGGCCTGGCACAAGCGTCGTGGTGACGTCACCGCCACTTAGTGGCGAATGGCGGTTGTTGTTGTACGCGTGTGTGCATGTGCGTGTGTGCGTGGTTGTGTGTGCATGTGCGTGTGTGCGTGGTTGTGTGTGCATGTGCGTGTGTGCGTGCGTGTGCGTGCGTGCGTGTGTGTACGTGTGTGTGTACGTGTGTGTGTACGTGTGTGTGTACGTGTGTGTGTACGTGTGTGTGTACGTGTGCGTGTGTGCGTGCGTGTGCGTGTGTGTACGTGTGTGTGTACGTGTGTGTGTGTGCGTGTGTGTGCGTGTGTGTGTGCGTGCGTGTGTGTGTGTGTGTACGTGTGTGTGTGTGTGTACGTGTGTGTGTGTGTACGTGTGTGTGTGTGTGTACGTGTGTGTGTGTGTGTGTACGTGTGTGTGTGTGTGTACGTGTGTGTGTGTGTACGTGTGTGTGCGTGTGTGTGTGCGTGTGTGTGTACGTGTGTGTGTGTACGTGTGTGTGTGTGTGTACGTGTGCGTGTGTGTGTACGTGTGTGTGTGTACGTGTGCGTGTGTGTGTGTACGTGTGTGTGTGTGTGTACGTGTGTGTACGTGTGTGTGTGTGTACGTGTGTGTGTGTGTACGTGCGTGTGTGTGTGTGTGTGCGTGTGTGTACGTGTGTGTGTACGTGTGTGTGTGTGCGTGTGTGTGTGTGCGTACGTGTGTGTGTGTACGTGTGTGTGTGCGTACGTGTGTGTGTGCGTACGTGTGTGTGTGTGTGCGTGTGTGTGTGCGTACGTGTGTGTGTACGTGTGTGTGTACGTGTGTGTGTGTGTGCGTGTGTGTGTGTGCGTGTGTGTGTACGTGTGTGTGTGTGTACGTGTGTGTGTGTGTGTGTGCGTGTGTGTGTGTGCGTGTGTGTGTACGTGTGTGTGTGTGTGTACGTGTGTGTGTGTGTGTACGTGTGTGTGTGTGTGTGCGTAGGAGTGTGGCAACGGCGCCGCGTGCTGCTGCCCGCTTGGCGTCGCGAGCCACTTGGGCACCACGGTGTCGACATAGAGAGAGAGAGGGCGACCGGAACACGCAACCATTATTTACAATTCGCGTGCTGCACGAGGGACGGGGGTGTGGAGAGAGACAGCGGTGGCGACGGCCGGGACCCAACACCGCCGATTCTTCCATCGGGACCGCGACGCCGGGACCCCTGGGGGTCATTTGCCGGATCGCGGCCGAAGGGCGAGTGGGGGCGGCTCGCCCCGGGCCAACGACCGACGAGAGCGACGTACGTCCGGGTCGGTCGCGACAGCGGGCCCGGCGGCGTGCGACGTCCCGGCACCCCCCGGGTCCCGGCGGCGAGCCGGAACGACGAGGAGCCCCCGGGGGGGGGGGGGGACGCTCGGCACCGTCGCTCGCGGCGACGCTCGGCACCGCCGCGCTCTCACGTAGGCACCGTGCCGCGGCGGTCCGCGCCGCCCCTCCCGGCTCTCCCTTGTGCCGCCGCCGCCGCCGCCGTCGGCTCGCCGGGCCCCGTCCCGCTCCAGGAGCGCCGGTGCCGCGCCGGCGGTACCAACCGCGGCCGCGGCGGCGGCGACGTGGGGCAGACGCGCGCCGCTCGAGAGTCCGGTAGCCCCCCCCCCACTCCCGGCGTCCGGTAGCCCCCACCGCACTCCCGGCGTCTCACAACGGTCCTCACCGCCGCCCCCGGCGACGCTCGGCGGCGCTGCGCTCGCGAACCGCCGCGGGAGACGCGACCGGCGCCACGGTCCGGTCGGAGGGGGTGAGAGACTCCTCCCCTCGTGGCACCGAGGGGAGGAGTCGGCGATGACGAGGGGGGGGGGAGGGGGGAGGGACGAGCTGTCCGGCGGTGGCGCCGCGTGCCGGAGGTCGCCGCAGGTCGCCGGAGGTCACGCGGGGTTAAGGCCACGGTTGGCGTTGACCGATCCGCTCAGATTTCATCCTGATCCAAGCAGACCTGGGGTGAGGGTGAGGGAGTCAGGGTGAGGGTGAGGGAGTGAGGGTGAGGGAGTGTGCAGGGAGACTGTGACCACTGCGGTGCCCAGCTGGCTGGCCGTGCGTGTGTGCATGTGTGTGTGTGCGTGTGTGTGCGTGTGTGTGCGTGTGTGTGCGTGTGTGTGCGTGTGCCTTTCTCTGCGTAGTAGTAGTATTATTATTATTATTATCCACAGTGGGAAGGCGTAGGGCAGTGGTTAGCGTGCGCACCTTGACAAAGGCGTGGTCCAGCAGCTGGCTGGCCGTGCAGCGGTCGCTGGGGTCGCTCTCGAGGCAGAGAGCCAGGAAGTCACGCCCCTCGGGGCTCAGCCGCTCGGGCAGCGGCGGCTTGTGGCCCATGCCCACGCGGTACATGATCTGGAAGTTGTGCTCGTACTCGTGCCAAGGCCGCTGCGCACACGCACGCGCGCACACACGCACGCACACGCACGCACGCACACGCACGCACACACACACACGCGCGCACACGCATGCACGCGCGCACACACGCATGCACACGCACGCACACACACACACGCACACGCACGCACACACGCACACGCACCGCATAGTCCAACGTCGTCACCACCGTCCGTCACGGCATCATCGTCATCCCTTCCTTCACCTCATTCCGTTCATCGCTCAAAGCCTCACCTCTTCTCTGTTATCCATGCACTGAACACTGCATCATGGACTCAACACTGCCCATAGACTCAACACTGCCCATAGACTCAACAATGCCCATAGACTCAACACTGCCCATGGACTCAACACTGCCCATAGACTCAACACTGCCCTCGGACTCCACCTGCTCCGTCTACATGGGATCGATGGTTTCCCCGTAGTATGCTTAGGTTTTCTCCCACATGTTAAACATTAATTAATTGTCCCGAAAAACATCTTAATGTCCATAATGCAGGTTTTTTTGGGGTTAGATCTTAACCCAAAAAAAACCTGATTTATGGACATTAAGATTTTTTCAGGACAATTAATTAATGTTTAACACGTGGGAGAAAACCTAAGCATACGAGGGGGAAACAATCGATCCCATGTAGACGGAGCAGGTGGAGTCCACATTTTCCCTGTACCGCCTTCTCCTGTTACTGCAAGCCTACCGCGTGTTAAACTGACACCTCAATGTACAGAGGTCGCACTCATTACACACAAAGTGCCTGCCACAGAGTAACCACAAAACCTCGCCGATGTCGTCAAGCAGCATAAACCATCATCACGCAGCAGCGGCGGCGGCGGCTTTCGGCTAGGCCATCGAATAAAGACGGTCACCACATCGCGCACTTTCAGATGCACTTCTGCGGCCGTCTGGAACGCTCTACCTTCCCATATCAGGCTTAAGCTACGCACTTTTAAATCATCAGAACATGGGCAAAGTACGGCCCATTGGGCTTTTTAATCCGGCCCGCCGAACTTGTCCAAATATTATTATTAAATTAAATTTTACCTTTCTCCTGTAATGGCCCCATTTCCCCATTAGATGGCGCACTTTGACCGGGAGTTACGACATGTTTTTGTATTGCTCATGTTCGTGCACTTTGTTAAATTGCCTTGCAAATAAATGCTTTGCTACCTGTCAAAGGCCAAATCCTTTCACGTAATGATTTTTAACACGTCATTTATATTAAGTTCACACAAACACTCCGTCCGTCTGTTCCTGGCCCGGCCCCTCTGTCAAATTTTAGAACCCATTGTGGCCCGCGAGTCAAAACATTTGCCCACCCCTGATCTAGATTGACAAAGTAATTTCTTTAAAACTGCTTTTTGTCTTTAGTTTGTTGTCCTTATGCACCTCCGATTAGCGCGGTTGGCTACGTACGACGCCAATGAAGAAATTCAACGTGCACACGCACACACAACGGGGAGACGCACGGCCACGGCATGGCGCTGGCCGTCCACCCGCTCATGCGCTCACAGCAGCACTTGTCCCCGACCGTGCGCGTAGGCCTATACGGGGAACCTTGTCGCCTTTGCCTCGGCCTCACCTTCCCCGTCGCCATCTCGATGAGGACGCAGCCCAGGCTCCAGATGTCGGCCGCTCGGCCGTGACCTTCGCCCCGTGCCCGCGTGATCACTTCCGGGGCCATGTACGCTGCACAAGGAACAAAGATCCCCCGTGTAGCCTTTAACAGACTGTCGGGGCAAGTGCTGTTAGCGAGTAGCAACGATGAAGGCCGGCACGGCACACGAGGGGGCGGGTGGCCAACGCCAAGTCCGGCCGCCTTTGTCTCCCCAGTGGCGATGTTTACACGCCGCACCAGGTACCCAATTGAGGCTGAGTCGACCTAGGGGAGGGCCAGGACCGGTTTAGGTAATCGTCACTGGTGTTGCCGTGAGCGGGAATCGGAACTCGGGGCGCCGAGTTCGTAGCGCAGCGTCAGCGCTAACCGCTACGCTACATGCACACGGCAGCAGCAGCGTCGTCGTCATCATCAGCCGTGGTCTCTCCACTGCTGGATGAAGGCCTCCCCCCCCCCCTTTGCCCACGGTCGCGCGACGACGAGCGGACCCCCCCCCCCTCCCCCACCGCTCCGTATGGATGACGGACGTCGTTTCGGGCGAATGCCCTCTTTCAGCTGCCACTCTCAAGCCTCGACGTGCGGTCTCTCGACACCACGTAGGGTGTTGCGTCGCTGCGGGCGCGTGTGTGTGTGTGCTGGTGTGACCCATCCCCGTGGCCGTCGCCCGCTCACCGGCTGTGCCGAGCGTGCTGTTCACCTCCCCGGGCATCGTCTGTGAGATGTTCTTCAGCTTCACCGAGCACCCAAAGTCTCCCAGCTTGATGTGCCCCGTCGACGTCAGGAAGATGTTCGCTCCTAGCCACGGAGGGGAAATTGAAAAAAAGCAAAAGCCATCCGGCGCTCAGCTGCAGGGCAAAGAACGGCAAAGGCGCAGCCCTCGCAAGCGCTCGCTCGCTCACGCCGCCGCCGTCGCCGTCGCCGGAAGGGGCCTCCGGGAGAGGGGCGCCGGAGAGAGCCCCCCACCGAGAGAGGGCGTTCGGGCAACTCTTTCATGTTGGTCAGGAGGAGGTAGCGGCGATTAAAACGATACAAAATATAAACTATTTTGTATTTTGCCAGGTCAGGGCCCCCCGCTGGGCTGTGCAACTCTTTACCAGAAGCGACCTGGCTACCACGAATGATAGCTCAACGAAGTGGCCCATTTCATCATCGTCATCGTAGAAATTTAAAGCGGCAGACAAACACTCCAAACGCGTGCGACGTCGCGCTGGAGGGCCTTGCGTCACAACGGCGTCGGAATGGCGTCACAACGGCGTCACAACGGCATCTGAATGGCATCACAACGGCGTTGTAATGGCGTCACAACGGCATCGGAATGGCGTCACAACGGCGTCTGAATGGCGTCACAACGGCGTCATAACGGCGTTGTAATGGCGTCACAATGGCGTCGGAATGGCGTCACAAAGGCGTCTGAATGGCGTCACAACGGCGTCACAACGGCGTCTGAATGGCGTCACAACGGCGTTGGAAAGGCGTCACAACGGCGTCGGAAAGGCGTTACAACGGCGTCGGAATGGCATCACAACGGCGTCGGAATGGCATCACAACGGCATCACAACGGCGTCGGAATGGCGTCACAACGGCGTCGGAAAGGCGTCACAACGGCGTTGGAAAGGCGTCACAACGGCGTCGGAATGGCGTCACAACGGCGTCTGAATGGCGCCACAACGGCGTCACAACGGCGTCAGAATGGCATCACAGCGGCGTCTGAATGGCGTCACAACGGCGTCACAATGGCGTCAGAATGGCGTCACAACGGCGTCGGAAAGGCGTCACAACGGCGTCGGAAAGGCGTCACAACGGCATCGGAATGGCGTCACAACGGCGTCTGAATGGCGCCACAACGGCGTCGCAACGGTGACGGTGGCGGCGGGCGCTACCCTTGATGTCGCGGTGCACGATGCCGCGCTCGTGCAGCTCCGTGATGGCCGTGCAGATCTGCTTGGTGTAGTGGCGGATGACGGGCTCCTGAAGGCCCAGGCGGGACACCTCCTCCAGCGTGCCCTCGTCGCAGTACTCCATGAAGATGTACATCTCCTCCTGCGCGCGCAAGACGCAGCGAGTGGCGCGCGCAGGGAAACACGTGGAGACAAACAGAGCTATAGACAGGGAGATAGACACGGATATATATACACACACACACGGAGAGAACTGTCCACCCACTATTGTCGCTTAACATTGTCCACCCAGCAATGTCCACCCAGCAGAGCGGCGAGCGAGCGACCCCGTGCGTGGACCCACCCGGTGGAGCTCCACGCCGTAGTAGCGGACCAGGTTGGAGTGGTTGATGCCTTCGAAGATCTTGATCTCGTCCGCCGTCTCCTTGATGGTCTTGTGGTCGTTGGGCTGGAACCGAATCTGCAGGGCCAGCGAGAACGCACGCACCACACGCGTTCACACAAAGATCCACCGTGTAGCCTCAACAGGCTGTAGGGGCAAGCGCTGTTAGCGAGTACCTATGAAGGCCGGCACGGCACACGAGGAGGTGGGTGGCCGGCACAATGCCCGGCCGCCTTCGACTCCCCAGTGGTGATGTTTACACACCGCTGCAGGTACTCATTTGAGGCTGAGTCGACCTAGGGGAAGCCCATTATTGATTCGGATAATCGTCACCGGTGTTGGGCATGAGCGGGAATCGAACCTGGGCCGCCGGGCTCGTAGCGCAGCGCGCTGACCGCTACGCTACCGCTCCCCACACTACCGCTCCCCACGTATGCGTACGTGCATCATCGGAACGGAACTAAAATAAAATGACTTTATCGGTACCGAGACTCCCACAAGGCCACGCGGGAGGGCGCGGGGCACAGCTTGGCGCCAGCCGCCTCAGAGTGGCGGCGGTCACGTCGCTTCGGCTCTCCGCGACGAGTAACGTAAAAGCAAACGGCGCCGCCGCCGCCGCCGCTGCTGCTGCTCCTACACCTCTCTAAATCAAATGAACGCCGAGTCGGCTCGCGCGCTCCGAGATTGGGCGGTGAACGCGATCCACAGCCTGCAACTTTGCAGGCGTCGTCAGACCGGGAAAGGATTTAAAAAGGTCGGCACGGCGCACGATGGGATGGCGAGGCGAGCACCACGCCCCACCGCCACCACCTTTGTCTCACAAGTGCTGATGTTTGCTTGCGCACCAAGGTAGACAATTAATTTGAGGCCGAGTCGACCGCGGGGAAGCCCTCGACTGATTCAGATATTTAAAAAGATGGACCCAATTTCAAAGCAGTATATTTCACGATGGCAACATGTTACAATTACACGAAAAGTTACAAACGGTTTTAATGAGTTACCAAGTTTTATTACCCATTTTATAAATGCTCTACGTGTGCCCTCCACCTGCTGTACGGACAACATCGAGAGACGATAGTTGAATTCGTCCCAGACGCCTCTCTTCTCACGTTTCCCTCTGATGTGCGTGGTTGCCCTCTGCTCTTCCCCTTACATCAACAGCAGCCCGTGTCCTCAAATCGTCGGCACCAACGACGAACGCTCTTTGACATTGGCGGATCAATGCCACAACGCCGTTGAAACGCACGCCGCACCGCAATTACGGATTCAGTCTTGCCGAACCGCAGAACGCAAAACGCTCCTTGTGTTGCGAGGGTCACCATCTTGAGAATGACTGAGGCTAGAGGCTGTTTGTGCGCTGGGGTCACCATCTAGAGAATGACTGAGGCTAGGGGCTGTTTGTGTTCACTGGGGGCACCATCTAGAGAATGACTGAGGCTAGGGGCTGCTTGTGCGCTGGGGTCACCATCTAGAGAATGACTGAGGCTAAGGGCTGTTTGTGTGCTGGGGTCACCATCTAGAGAATGACTGAGGCTAGGGGCTGTTTGTTCACTGGGGTCACCATCTAGAGAATGACTGAGGCTAGGGGCTGTTTGTGTGCTGGGGTCACCATCTAGAGAGTGACTGAGGCTAGGGGCTGTTTGTACGCTGGGGTCACCATCTAGAGAATGACTGAGGCTAGGGGCTGTTTGTACGCTGGGGTCACCATCTAGAGAATGACTGAGGCTAGGGGCTGTTTGTGTGCTGGGGTCACCATCTAGAGAGTGACTGAGGCTAGGGGCTGTTTGTGTTCACTGGGGTCACCATCTAGAGAATGACTGAGGCTAGGGGCTGTTTGTGCACTGGGGTCACCATCTAGAGAATGACTGAGGCTAGGGGCTGTTTGTGTACTGGGGTCACCATCTAGAGAGTGACTGAGGCTAGGGGCTGTTTGTACGCTGGGGTCACCATCTAGAGAATGACTGAGGCTAGGGGCTGTTTGTACGCTGGGGTCACCATCTAGAGAATGACTGAGGCTAGGGGCTGTTTGTGTTCACTGGGGTCACCATCTAGATAATGACTGAGGCTAGGGGCTGTTTGTGTGCTGGGGTCACCATCTAGAGAATGACTGAGGCTAGGGGCTGTTTGTGTGCTGGGGTCACCATCTAGAGAGTGACTGAGGCTAGGGGCTGTTTGTGTGCTGGGGTCACCATCTAGAGAATGACTGAGACTAGGGGCTGTTTGTGTTCACTGGGGTCACCATCTAGAGAATGACTGAGGCTAGGGGCTGTTTGTGCACTGGGGTCACCATCTAGAGAATGACTGAGGCTAGGGGCTGTTTGTGTTCACTGGGGTCACCATCTAGAGAATGACTGAGGCTAGGGGCTGTTTGTGTGCTGGGGTCACCATCTAGAGAATGACTGAGGCTAGGGGCTGTTTGTGTTCACTGGGGTCACCGTCTTGCCAATGACTGAGGCTAGGGGCTGTTTGTGCGCTGGGAGAGGCATCGAGCGGTCATAATTTTAAACTCGATGCCCCGCCCTCTCTATGCCCCGCCCTCTCTATGCCCCCGCCCTCTCTATGCCCCGCCCTTTCAAGTGGTAAGAGTTTCATTCGTGGGCGGTTCGTGGCTGCAGAGATATTAGCGATCTCAATCTTTTTGCAACACGCTGTACTATCGCCGATGTCGCTCCGCGAGCGGGAATCGAACTCGGGCCGCCGGGTTCGCAGCGCCAACCGCGGCACCGTCCGCTCGGCGAACCCACACCGCCCCGGTCGGCGCCGTGTCCCCGCGCCGCCGGCGAGGGAGTCTGCGACGCTTCGTGCGACGGCCTCCAGGTGCACCTGGCCTGGCACGCGCGCACTGGCGGCCGCCCTCTTTGCTGCTGTCGTTACCTCCTTCATGGCCATGAGTTCTCCCGTGTCCACGTTGACGCACGTGTACACCTTTCCGTACTGCCCTTCACCTGGAGACGCACGCAAGCAGGGACGCACGCACGTGAAGGCAAAGATCCCCCGTGCAGCCTTACCAGACTGTAAGGGGCAAGTGCTGTTAGCGAGCAGGCCCGAAGGCACGAGGGGGCGGGTGGCCAGCACCACCCCTGGCCGCCTTTGTCTTTCCAGTGCTGATGTTTACACACCGCACCGGGTACTCGTTTATGGCTGAGTCGATCTAGAGCAAGCCCCGGACCAGTTCAGACAATCGTCACTGGTGTTGGCGGCCATGAGCGGCAAGTGAACTCGGCTCGCCGGGTTTGTGGCTCAGCGGAGCGCTAACCACCGTGCCACCGCTCCCCTACATGGCCAATCACAGGTGCACACAAACACACACAGGGGGAGGGTGGGCGGAGAGAGGCGGGGAAGGAGGGGGGAGGAGGGAGGGGGCAGGATGCAGGGGGAGTAGAATGGAAGGGGGAGGAGGGAGGGGGGAGGAGGGGGGAGGGGGAAGGAGGGAGGAGGGAGGGGGCAGGAGGCAGGATGGAGGAGGGTGACACAGGGAGGGCCTCCCTCACCGATCTTGTTCCCCCTCTGCCACTTGAAGGTGACCTTGCGGAGGCCCACGTGCATGAGGTTGTTGATGGCGTGCGGCGTGCTGCACACGCGGCCCACCACGCGGCGCCGCTGGCTCTGCGCGTCCAGCTTCTGCTCGAAGCGCGCCATCGCCTTGCGCACGCGCTCCATGCGCCCGCAGCGCGAGCTCTCCTCTGCACGCACGCACGGGAACGCAGCAGAGTTACGCACCGAGATCCTCGCCCCACCTCGTGTAGCCCGAACAAGACTGTTGGAGCAAGTGCTGTGAGCGAGCGGAGCGGCGAGCGCCTACGGAGGCCGGCGCGGCACACGAGGGCGTGGGTGGCCGGCGCCAAGCCGGGCCGCGTGTCTCCCGAGCGGCGATGTTCGCACGCCGCGTGCCGACCTACGCGAGCCCCAAGGCCGATTGAGGTAACCGTCGCCGTAGTTGGCGTTGGCCGTGAGCGGGAATCGAACTCGGGTGGCCGGGTTCGTGGTGCGGCACGGGAGCCGCTCCGCCATCACTCCCCCCACGAAGATCCCCTGCGCGGCCTTAACAGACTGTCGGAGCTGCCCCCTCGACACGAGCGCAGGCACGCGCAGACAGGCCGAGGCACGCACGAAGGAGCGTCGCGCGTAGTACGCGCGGACGTGCCTGCGCGCGCAGAGCAACAGGGCACCGGTGCCGAGCGCGAGGGCCCTGACCTTTGGCCTCGTTGACGAAGCCCGTCAGCTCCCAGCTGCGGCGCACGGGGGTGGACGTGGCCACGACGAGCGGCTCCCCCCGCGGGAAACTCGGCTCTGGGGTGGAGACGACGCCGGGGGGACGACAGTGGGAGACGCGGGGAGACGCGGGGAGACGCGGGAGGGGATGCAATGGGACACGGAGGGATGCAGGAATAAGCGGGGGAGACACGAAGGGTAAGTGGGGAGACATGGGGAGTCACGGAGAGGGGAGACAGAGACAGTAGAGAGGAGGGAACAGGAGAAACAGGGGTCACAATTCAACTCAAGCATCAATTCTTTGCTTATTCGTTTAGCATTGTGCCGATCTAGTGGTAGCAGCCTCGAGTGGCTGGAGGAGGGGGTGATCACGTGCACTCGCTAAGTGCGATGCTCACAGGACCGAGAGTCGACGGTCATCAACGAATCGACGCCTCGAGGCACACCACGTCCAGTATGCCCTCCCGCTATGGCTACGTCGCCTGGTATTCAGGAGGTCGTGGGTTCGATTCTGACCCTGACGCCTGTGTATTTAGAGTTTGCGTGTCTCTCTCTCTCCCCGTGGTCGCATGGATTTTTCTCAGGGTCCTCCGGTTTTCCCTCTCCACATTTAAAATCAACGTCACGCGTTTAGAATATTTGGCTGCTGCGCTATAAATATCCACGTGATGATGATGATCATGAGCCCACTTCATTGGAGCTATCATTCGTGATGGCCGGTCGCTTTTTAAAAAGATCTACATAGCTCAGTGGGCCTTAGCTGGTCAAATAAAAATAGTTTTTTTTCAGTCAGATATAATAATACGTAAGATATAATAATACAAATAATGATAACGTCAACTTGTAACGCGACGCCGCTACTGCCACGCCGTGTTCACTCAAAGCTAAAGAGAGACATCTCACGGACCACCAGAGAGAGACATCTCACGGACCAAGCAGAGAGAGACATCTCACGGACCACCAGAGAGAGACATCTCACGGACCAAGCAGAGAGAGACATCTCACGGACCAAGCAGAGAGAGACATCTCACGGACCACCAGAGAGAGACATCTCACGGGCCAGCAGAGAGAGACAACTCACGGACCAAGCAGAGAGAGACATCTCACGGACCACCAGAGAGAGACATCTCACGGACCAAGCAGAGAGAGACATCTCACGGACCACCAGAGAGAGACATCTCACGGACCAAGCAGAGAGAGACATCTCATGGACCAAGCAGAGAGAAACATCTCATGGACCAAGCAGAGAGAAACATCTCATGGACCAGCAGGGAAAGACATCTCACGTAAGGCCCACTGACCTATCCAGCAATTTTTCAAGAGCGACCTGTCTATCACAAATAACAGCTGGACTCAGTGGCTCATCGTCACGTGAAAATGTACGGCATCCAAATGTACTCTAAAACGCGTGACGTTGATTCTAAAATGTGGTTGGAAAAATCGGGAGGACCCGGATAAAAATCCACACGACCAAATGAAGGCGTTACGGGCCAATAATTATCAAGTGTCTGGGAGGAAACCGGAGTACCCGGAGAGAACGCCGGCGGTGCGATGGGGAAACGCTCAATCCCACACAGAGTCCACATTTTCCCTGCACCGCCTTCTCCTGGCACGGCCAGGGGTACGGCTCCTCCTCAAGTCTCACCCACGGGAAGGGAGGCAGAAATTCACAACATCATCTGCGTTCAATCCACCAACGCTCGCTGCTGCCTCCACGGTGCTGGATGCTCACAGGCAGCCACGTGCAGCAGCGTAGCCACCACCACCACCACCACCGCCACCGCCACCGCCACCACCACATCCCTGACTAAGCGTGGCTCGGACATCACCCCCCGCCACACCCACGCCAAACCCCACCCCCTCACCTTCGCGCTCCTCCGTGGGGCTGGAATGGCGGCTCAGCGACTTGAAGGGCTCGCAGGTGAGGGAGGAGAGGCGGTCGCCCTCCGACAGGCTCAGCACCCTGAGGCACGTGGCAAGCACCGTCACGCTCGTCACACCACCGGCGCTGGTGTCTGTGTACCAGCCTCTACGTATTCATGTGGGTCTCTATGTATCTCTGTGTATTCACGTGGGTCTCTATGTATCTCTGTGTATTCATGTGGGTCTCTATGTATCTCTGTGTATTCACGTGGGTCTCTATGTATCTCTACGTATTCACGTGGGTCTCTATGTATCTCTGTGTATTCATGTGGGTCTCTATGTATCTCTACGTATTCACGTGGGTCTCTATGTATCTCTGTGTATTCACGTGGGTCTCTATGTATCTCTGTGTATTCACGTGGGTCTCTATGTATCTCTGCGTATTCATGTGGGTCTCTATGTATCTCTGTGTATTCACGTGGGTCTCTATGTATCTCTGTGTATTCACGTGGGTCTCTATGTATCTCTGTGTATTCATGTGGGTCTCTATGTATCTCTGTGTATTCATGTGGGTCTCTATGTATCTCTGTGTATTCACGTGGGTCTCTATGTATCTCTGTGTATTCACGTGGGTCTCTATGTATCTCTGTGTATTCATGTGGGTCTCTATGTATCTCTGTGTATTCACGTGGGTCTCTATGTATCTCTACGTATTCACGTGGGTCTCTATGTATCTCTGTGTATTCATGTGGGTCTCTATGTATCTCTACGTATTCACGTGGGTCTCTATGTATCTCTGTGTATTCACGTGGGTCTCTATGTATCACTGTGTATTCACGTGGGTCTCTATGTATCTCTGCGTATTCATGTGGGTCTCTATGTATCTCTGTGTATTCACGTGGGTCTCTATGTATCTCTGTGTATTCACGTGGGTCTCTATGTATCTCTGTGTATTCATGTGGGTCTCTATGTATCTCTGTGTATTCACGTGGGTCTCTATGTATCTCTGTGTATTCACGTGGGTCTCTATGTATCTCTGTGTATTCACGTGGGTCTCTATGTATCTCTGTGTATTCATGTGGGTCTCTATGTATCTCTGTGTATTCACGTGGGTCTCTATGTATCTCTACGTATTCACGTGGGTCTCTATGTATCTCTGTGTATTCATGTGGGTCTCTATGTATCTCTACGTATTCACGTGGGTCTCTATGTATCTCTGTGTATTCACGTGGGTCTCTATGTATCACTGTGTATTCACGTGGGTCTCTATGTATCTCTGCGTATTCATGTGGGTCTCTATGTATCTCTGTGTATTCACGTGGGTCTCTATGTATCTCTGTGTATTCACGTGGGTCTCTATGTATCTCTGTGTATTCATGTGGGTCTCTATGTATCTCTGTGTATTCATGTGGGTCTCTATGTATCTCTGTGTATTCACGTGGGTCTCTATGTATCTCTGTGTATTCACGTGGGTCTCTATGTATCTCTGTGTATTCATGTGGGTCTCTATGTATCTCTGTGTATTCACGTGGGTCTCTATGTATCTCTACGTATTCACGTGGGTCTCTATGTATCTCTGTGTATTCATGTGGGTCTCTATGTATCTCTACGTATTCACGTGGGTCTCTATGTATCTCTGTGTATTCACGTGGGTCTCTATGTATCACTGTGTATTCACGTGGGTCTCTATGTATCTCTGCATATTCATGTGGGTCTCTATGTATCTCTGTGTATTCACGTGGGTCTCTATGTATCTCTGTGTATTCACGTGGGTCTCTATGTATCTCTGTGTATTCATGTGGGTCTCTATGTATCTCTGTGTATTCATGTGGGTCTCTATGTATCTCTGTGTATTCACGTGGGTCTCTATGTATCTCTGTGTATTCACGTGGGTCTCTATGTATCTCTGTGTATTCACGTGGGTCTCCATGTATCTCACCGGTCGTCTGTTACGAATGCCAAAGCCAGGAAGGTGAGTGATGTGTGGGTCTCGTACGTGGTGCCTATTCCGGTGAGGGGGCTTGGGTTGGATACCTGATAGGGTCCTGGCTGGAAGAGATGGGCACGGAGACGCTGAACACGGGCGGGTCGCTGTGACAGCGCGGCACGCTGATGGGGCGTGGGCTGTTCCTGTGGATCGCTGGGCCGGGGAAACGCACGGGGCACACACGAGGTAGACACGGGGTAGACACGGGGTAGACATGGGGTAGACACGGGGTAGACACGGGGCAGACACGGGGCAGACACGGGGTAGACACGGGGTAGACACGGGGTAGACACGGGGCACACACGGGGTACACACGGGGTAGACACGGGGTAGACACGGGGTAGACAAGGGGTAGACACGGGGTAGACATGGGGCAGACACGGGGTAGACACGGGGTAGACACGGGGCACACACGGGGTAGACAAGGGGTAGACACGGGGCACGCACAGGGTAGACACGAGGTAGACACGGGGTAGACATGGGGTAGACACGGAACATGCTCGGGGTAGATACGGGATAGACACGGGGCACACACGGGGTAGACAAGGGGTAGACACGGGGTAGACACGGGGGAGACACGGGGCACGCACGGGGTAGACACGAGGTAGATACGGGGTAGACACGGGGCAGACAAGGGGTAGACAAGGGGTAGACACGGGGTAGACACGGGGTAGACGCGGGGTAGACACGGGGTAGACACGGGGTAGACGCGGGGTAGACGCGGGGTAGACACGGGGTAGACACGGGGTAGACACGGGGTAGACACGGGGTAGACAAGGGGTAGACACGGGGTAGATACGGGGTAGATACGGGGTAGACAAGGGGTAGACACGGGGTAGATACGGGGTAGATACGGGGTAGATACGGGGTACACAAGGGGTAGACAAGGGGTAGACAAGGGGTAGACAAGGGGTAGACACGGGGCAGACACGGGAAACAAAGCGCACAGGACAGATACAGGACACACATGGGACAGACAGGCGATGAACATGGGACAGACAGGCGATGAACATGGGACAGACAGGCGATGAACATGGGACAGACAGGCGATGAACATGGGCCACACACGTGGCACACATGGAGGTGGGGGGGGGGGGGCAGGAGTCAAGAAGCACACGGGAACACACAGAGACACAAAGATGAGCAAAACACAGACACACACCACACACCGACCGTTACAGGCAAACAGCCACAGCCACACCGCACGCTGTGACACGTGTGTACGCTTTCTCACGTACGGTGCGTGTGTGCCTGCGTGCGTGCGTGGGTACACGTGCGGGAGCGGTGGCGTAGGGGTTAGGGTGCCGCGCTACGAACTCTGCGAGCGGGAGTTCGATTCCCGCTCAGCGCCAACACCGGTGACGAATATTTCAACGGGGATATGGGTCTCCGCTAGGTCGACTCAGCCGTAAACGATGACACCCGGCGCGGTGTGTAAACGTCGACACTTGGGAGACAAAGGCGGCTGGGTGCGGTGCTGACCACCCACCCACTCGTGCGCCGTGCCGGCCGTCATAGGTGCTGCTCGCTAACAGCACAGCACCTGTCGCAAGAATCCGTTAAAGCCTGTACTGGGGATCTTTGATATGTGTGCGTGTGCGGGTGGGGAACGGTGGCGCAGCGGTGAGCACGTGCTGCGCTATGAACCCGGCGATCCGGGTTCAATTCCTCCTCAAGGTCGACGCCAGTGACGATTACCCGAACCGGTCGTGGACCACTACCGAGTACCCGGTGCGGTGTGTAAACATCGCCACTGGCCACCCACCCCCTCGCGCGCCACAGCTCCGGCCTTCACAGGTGCTGCTCGCTAACAGCACTTGCCCCTTACAGTCTGTTACGGGCTACACGCGGGGGGCGTCTTTGTCTCGGTGCGGGGCTGCAGCGTCGCAGCATGGGTTCGTACCGACGCCGGGGCTGTGCGGTTTCCCGATCACGTGCAGGATGCAGCTGTTGATGAGCGTCTGCAGACTCTGCGGGGCACAAACAGCGCGGCGCTCATCACCGCCGGGCGGGGGCGTGCCAAGGCGGCGCCGGCAGGGCCGGTGGCGGCAGAGGCTCGTGGTTCGAATCCGACGGGCCGCCCCCGTTAGTACTGCGGTCGTGGGTATGACTACCGCGTGTTGTCACCGCAAATACCGTGCGCCATTTGCTTCGTGGTGGAAGTTAAAGATCCCCGCTACGCGTTTTGCCGATTATCCACGATGATGAAAAAATAAAAGACGATTCACATCCGCCAACTCTCCCACCCACTCAATCACATGCATACACATAGAGCCACTCACTCAGTCATTCACTCATACACCCACTCAGTCACTCACCCACCAACTCAGCCAATCACTCTCCCAGTCAATCAATCAATAACACACACACAACCACTCAATCGCATGCATACACATAGAGTCACTCACTCAGTCACTCACTCATACACCCACTCAGTCACTCACCCATAAACTCACCCACTCACTCTCCCAGTCAATCAATCAATCACACACACACCCACTTAATCACACGCATACACATAGAGCCACTCACTCAGTCATTCACTTATACACCCACTCAGTCACTCACCCACCAACTCACCCACTCACTCTCCCAGTCAATCAATCAATCACACACACACCCACTCAATCACACGCATACACAAAGAGCCACTCACTCAGTCATTCACTAATACACCCATTCAGTCACTCACCCACCAACTCACCCACTCACTCTCCCAGTCAATCAATCAATCACACACACCCACTCAAACACACGCATACACAAAGAGCCACTCACTCAGTCACTCACCCACCAACTCACCCACTCACTCTCCCAGTCAATCAATCACACACACACAAACACCCACTCAATCACAAACACACTCACCCACTCAATCACACACACACACACCCACCCACTCAATCACACACACACACACCCACCCCCTCAATCACACACACACACACACACCCACCCACTCAATCACACACACGCACACACACCCACTCACTCAATCACACACACACACCCACCCAATCAATCACACACACACACCCACCCACTCAATCACACACACCCACCCACTCAATCACACACACACACACACCCACTCAATCACTCACACACACACACACACACCCACCCACTCAATCACACACACCCACTCAATCACACCCACCCACTCAATCACACACACACCCACCCACTCAATCACACACACACCCACCCACTCAATCACACACACACCCACCCACTCAATCATACACACACCCACCCACTCAATCACACACACACCCACCCACTCAATCACACACACACACCCACCCACTCAATCACACACACACACCCACCCACTCAATCACACACACACACACACACCCACTCAATCACACACACAACCACCCACTCAATCACACACACACCCACTCAATCACACACGCACCCACCCACTCAATCACACACGCACACACTCACCCACTCAATCACACACACACATACCCATTCAATCACACACGCACACACACATACCCATTCAATCACACACACACACACACCCACCCACTCAATCACACACACACACCCACCCATTCAATCACACACACACATACCCATTCAATCACACACACACACACACCCACCCACTCAATCACACACACACACACCCACCCACTCAATCACACACACACACACCCACCCACTCAATCACACACACACACACCCACCCACTCAATCACACACACACCCACCCACTCAATCACACACACACACCCACCCACTCAATCACACACACACCCACCCACTCAAGCACACACACCCACCCACTTAATCACACACACACCCACCCACTCAATCACACACACACCCACCCACTCAATCACACACACACCCACCCATTCAATCACACACACACATACCCATTCAATCACACACACACACACACCCACCCACTCAATTACACACACACACACCCACCCACTCAATCACACACACACACACCCACCCACTCAAGCACACACACACCCACCCACTTAATCACACACACACCCACCCACTCAATCACACACACACCCACCCACTCAATCACACACACACACACCCACTCAATCACACACACACCCACCCACTCAATCACACACACACACACACATACCCATTCAATCACACACACACACCCACCCACTCAATCACACACACACACCGACCCACTCAATCACACACACACCCACCCATTCAATCACACACACACCCACCCACTCAATCACACACACACCCACCCACTCAAGCACACACACACCCACCCACTTAATCACACACACACCCACCCACTCAATCACACACACACCCACCCACTCAATCACACACACACCCACCCATTCAATCACACACACACATACCCATTCAATCACACACACACACACACCCACCCACTCAATTACACACACACACACCCACCCACTCAATCACACACACACACACCCACCCACTCAAGCACACACACACCCACCCACTTAATCACACACACACCCACCCACTCAATCACACACACACCCACCCACTCAATCACACACACACACACACACCCACTCAATCACACACACACCCACCCACTCAATCACACACACACACATACCCATTCAATCACACACACACACCCACCCACTCAATCACACACACACACCGACCCACTCAATCACACACACACCCACCCATTCAATCACACACACACCCACCCACTCAATCACACACACACCCACCCACTCAAGCACACACACACCCACCCACTTAATCACACACACACCCACCCACTCAATCACACACACACCCACCCACTCAATCACACACACACCCACCCATTCAATCACACACACACATACCCATTCAATCACACACACACACACACCCACCCACTCAATTACACACACACACACCCACCCACTCAATCACACACACACACACCCACCCACTCAAGCACACACACACCCACCCACTTAATCACACACACACCCACCCACTCAATCACACACACACCCACCCACTCAATCACACACACACACACCCACTCAATCACACACACACCCACCCACTCAATCACACACACACACATACCCATTCAATCACACACACACCCACCCACTCAATCACACACACACACATACCCATTCAATCACACACACACACCCACCCATTCAATCACACACACACACACACCCACTCAATCACACACACACACACACCCACCAACTCAATCACACACACACACCCACCCACTCAAGCACACACACACCCACCCACTCAATCACACACACACACCCACCCACTCAATCACACACACACCCACCCACTCAATCACACACACACCCACCCACTCAATCACACACACACCGACCCACTCAATCACACACACACCCACCCACTCAATCACACACACACACACCCACCCACTCAATCACACACACACCCACCCACTCAATCACACACACACCCACCCACTCAATCACACACACCCACCCACTCAATCACACACACACACACACCGACCCACTCAATCACACACACACACACCCACTCAATCACACACACACCCACCCACTCAATCACACACACACCCACCCACTCAATCACACCCACCCACTCAATCACACACACCACTCGAAAAGAGGAGGCCCGTGTGTGTGCCAGCATCACGGTCAACCGCAGATCACTCAATCGGGATCATGCAGCAACAGCAACAGCAGTAAGATCGCTCCATCCGCCCCTACTGCGACGATTGCCTCGCACGATAAGCACAATCGCGCCAACACCAAATCTACCCAGGTATCATTACTATTATATTTAACACGTGGTAGGCTTTTGCGTTCAATATTATCCATAATGAAGGTTTTTTTTGTTGTTGTGGGTTTGATCGCGTAAATATAAATGTGTCGTTAAACCCGCCACCACCCGACCACAGCCTAATTATCAAGGTTTGTTTTGTTTACAGTGAGGGAAAAAAAACGTATTTGAATCCCTGCTGATTTTTTTACGTTTGCCCACTGACAAAGAAATGATCAGTCTATAATTTTAATGGTAGGTTTATTTGAACAGTGAGAGACAGAATAACAACAACAAAAAATCCAGAAAAACGCATGTCAAAAATGTTATAAATTGATTTGCATTTTAATGAGGGAAATAAGTATTTGACCCCCTCTCAATCGGAAAGATTTCTGGCTCCCAGGTGTCTTTTATACAGGTAACGAGCTGAGATTAGGAGCACACTCTTAAAGGGAGTGCTCCTAATCTCAGCTTGTTACCTGTATAAAAGACACCTGTCCACAGAAGCAATCAATCAATCAGATTCCAAACTCTCCACCATGGCCAAGACCAAAGAGCTCTCCAAGGATGTCAGGGATAAGATTGTAGACCTACACAAGGCTGGAATGGGCTACAAGACCATTGCCAAGCAGCTTGGTGAGAAGGTGACAACAGTTGGTGCGATTATTCGCAAACGGCAGAAACACAAAAGAACTGTCAATCTCCCTCGGCCTGGGGCTCCATACAAGATCTCACCTCGTGGAGTTGCAATGATCATGAGAGCGGTGAGGAATCAGCCCAGAACTACACGGGAGGATCTTGTCAATGATCTCAAGGCAGCTGGGACCATAGTCAACAAGAAAACAATTGGTAACACACTACGCCGTGAAGGACTAAAATCCTGCAGCGCCCGCAAGGCCCCCCCCTGCTCAAGAAAGCACATATACATGCCCGTCTGAAGTTTGCCAATGAACATCTGAATGATTCAGAGGACAACTGGGTGAAAGTGTTGTGGTCAGATGAGACCAAAATGGAGCTCTTTGGCATCAACTCAACTCGCCGTGTTTGGAGGAATGCTGCCTATGACCCCAAGAACACCATCCCCACCGTCAAACATGGAGGTGGAAACTTTATGCTTTGGGGGTGTTTTTCTGCAAAGGGGACAGGACAACTTCACCGCATCAAAGGGATGATGGACAGGTCAATGTACCGTCAAATCTTGGGTGAGAACCTTCTTCCCTCAGCCAGGGCATTGAAAATGGGTCGTGGATGGGTATTCCAGCATGACAATGACCCAAAACACACGGCCAAGGCAACAAAGGAGTGGCTCAAGAAGAAGCACATTAAGGTCCTGGAGTGGCCTAGCCAGTCTCCAGACCTTAATCCCATAGAAAATCTGTGGAGGGAGCTGAAGGTTCGAGTTGTCAAACGTCAGCCTCGAAACCTTAATGACTTGGAGAAGATCTGCAAAGAGAAGTGGGACAAAATCCCTCCTGAGATGTGTGCAAACCTGGTGGCCAACTCCAAGAAACGTCTGACCTCTGTGATTGCCAACAAGGGTTTTGCCACCAAGTACCAAGTCATGTTTTGCAGAGGGATCAACTACTTATTTCCCTCATTAAAATGTAAATCAATTTAGAAAATTTTTGACATGCGTTTTTCTGGATTTTTGTTGTTGTTATTCTGTCTCTCACTGTTCAAATAAACCTACCATTTAAATTATAGACTGATCATTTCTTTCTCAGTGGGCAAACGTACAAAATCAGCAGGGGATCAAATACTTTTTTCCCTCACTGTACGTGACAAGCCTTACTAATTGGCCGTGTTGGGTGGTGGAGGGTTAAACGACACATAAAAATTCACATGATCTCACCCAAAAATAAACCTTCATTAGGGATGTTATTATTATTATTGTAATAATCAGCGGAGCCGCAGCGCACGATCGTCTCAAAGTGCAACTTCCACCCGCTGACCGCTCGGCCCCAATCCCAGTGTGCTCCGGGAATCGGGGTCACGGGGTCAAAAGGTCGAGGGGAGGTGGACTCACCACAAAGTCCTCCTCGGGCAGAGCGGAGATGAAGGCCGGCTCGATGGCCGTGATGAACTCAAATCCCTGCGTCGCCCACCTGCAAACATAAAGATCCCCCCGTGTAGCCTTTGACAAAATTTTGGGGCAAATGCGGTTAAGCAAGCAGCACCTGTGAAGGCCGGCACGGCGCACGAGGGGGTGGGTGGCCAGCACCACGCCCGGCCGCCTTTGTCTCCCCCAGTGGCGATGTTTACACGGCGCACCAGGAACACATTTGAGGCTGAGCCGACCTAGGGGAGGGCACAGGACCGGTCCAGATAATCACCACGGATGTTGGCTGGCCATCAGTGGGAATCGAACTCGGGTTCCCCTGGTCCATAGCACGGTGTTGCTGCACTACAACTCACAAAGACAAAGATCCCCCCGTATAGGCTTCAACAGACAGTTGGGGCAAGTGTTGTCAGCGAGCACGAGGGGGTGGTTGACCAGCACCACACTTGGCAGCCCTTGTCTCCCTGAGTGTCGATGTTTACAGGTACCCATTTGAGGTAAAGTCGACCGAGGTTAGGGCCCAGGACCGATTCAGACAATCGTCCCCAGTGTTGGTGGCCGTGAGCGGGAATCGAACTCGGGTCGCCGGGTTCGTAGCGCAGCGGCTTGAACCGCTGCACAACCACTAAGCGCACAGGCTGTGCGTGTGTGTGGCTCTCCTCAATTGAGAAATTTATGCTGTGACCCGGCACCAATAGCGACAAACAAAAACCACAAGAAATATTTTCCCGTGCTGATCAAACACGCGACACTGCCACCATCACCGCACCGTCAACAACCGCGGGCGCCACCGCAAGGGAATCACAGAGCGGGATTAGTCGCACCACATGGCCTCATTTCCACCAATCACAGCCCGCCAACCCTACCACAAGACGCGGTTACGACCAATTGCGCAGAGTGGTCGAGATCACATGACCAGAATCAGGGCTTAATTTCGCGGCCGGGTCTGTCCGCCAAATATTGAACATAGCCGGATCAACACGTTCTGTATCCCTCTCGCTGTGGCTACCGGTTACCTGCCTAACATCAGATGACATGTCGGTGGCTAGGAGATGTTATCTGCCTCGCCTGGTACACAGGAGGTCGTGGTTTCGATCGCGACCCCGACCCCTGCATATATTTTGAGTTTGCATGTTCTTCCTGTGGTCACGTGGATTTTCCTCTGGGTCCTCCAGTTTATCCCTCCAGGATCAATGTGCATTTAGAGTGTTTGGCTGCTGTACATTCCCAGTTGATAAGCCACTTCGTTGAGCTATCATTTGTGGCCAGGTGACTTCTGAAAAAGAGCTACGTAGCTCAGTGGGCCTTCACCTACGTGACTTCTATTTTATTTTTTATTTCATTACGGTTCGATTTTTATTATTTTATCATTTCCCTTCTACGTGACTTTACCGAAAGAACCAAGGAGATGAATCCCTGCAGTCACGAAAGCTTTAAGTAGTACCGCAGTTTAGTTTACCATTAATACCCGCGATCCGGAAAATATTTCTGCACCTGGCATACCCACCACATCCAGCATATATAATAACCTGATGCAGGTCGACCAGTGACCTGCGACAATTTTCAGTGACAAATTAAGCCCTGATAACGAGACAAGACAGACAAGACGGAGGGGCGGACGGACGCACGGACGGACGGACGGACAGAGGGAAGGGTCAGGCTTGTGATTGGACAGCTAAGCCGCGGTCGGCACCACCTCAAACAAAGCGCGGCTCCTCACCTCGGTACGACCACCGGCCGCGCGGTCAGCAGCGGTAGCTCGTGCCGTAAGCGCCGCTCCCCCCTCGATCCGGCGCGTCACACAAGAGCGTCAACAGAGAGTCGTCGCAAAACGTCGCGCGGATTCAACGACGGGCAGAGCCATCCCGAGCCGACGTGCGCCGCGGGGGTCAACCATCGCCGCGCGAAAACCGGTTCGCAGGAACGCGGTCGTGCGCTCGTGGGGTTGCCAAGGCTCTCTCATCACGCACGCACGCACCGCACGCGGACGGGCGGGCGGACCAGGCAGGAAGACAGTCCGGCAAACTGGCGGACGGTGACGCGGACGGGCGGGGGAAGGGACGCGCCAAAAACTACGGGCGCACACGGAGAGCGATGCAGCACGTCTCGTCTCTCGGGTCAGGCAGTTGGTGGAGAATATCGTCTCTCAAGCTTTCGCCACTGGGACGGATGTCCTGCATGTAAATATGTGGTGCCGTGTCAGGTGGGCAGGTGGGCGAGTGGGCGAGCGGGCGGGCGAGCGAGCGAGCGGGCGGGCAGACGAGCAAGTGAGCGAGTGAGCGAGCGGGCGAATGACTGTGCGGGCAAGCGAGTGAGTGAGCGGGCAAGTAAATGGGCAAGCGAGTGGGCGAGCAGGCGAGCGAGTGAGTACCTGGGCCGGGTGCCTCGTCCGCTCTCACACTTGCTCAGCACGTACTCCATCCACTTGCGGGCGAAGCTGATGAAGTGGTCGCCCACGCGTTGCCGTGACTCGCCCGACATGAGTCGCACCACCTCCTTGTGGTACTGGGTGGCATGGGGGGGGCATGCGGGAGAGAGAAGGGGGGTGTGGGCAGGGCCCATTGTGAGCCGGGTGAGAGAGTGGAGAGAGTGAGTGTTGGAGAGTGTATTCAGGCGAGTGGGTGGGTGGGTGGTTGTGTTGTCAAGTGTATTAGTTTAGTGGGTTGGGAAGGTGGGCATGAATGAACACACACACACACACGCGTACCCACATGCATGCACATGCACAAGAAGACACAAAGACAAAGAACCCCTCTATAGCCTTAAACAGACCGCCGGGGCAAGTGCTGTTAGCGAGTAGCACCTATGAAGGTCGGCACGGCAACACGTCCGGGTGTGGGTAGCCAGCACCACGCCTGGCCGCCTTTGCCACCACAACCGCACGCGCGTGGGCACGTGGGCACGTGGGCACGTGAGCACGTGGGCACGTGGGCACGTGGGCGCGTGGGCACGTGGGCGCGTGGGCACGTGGGCGCGTGGGCACGTGGGCACGTGGGCTCGTGGGCGCGTGGGCGCGTGGGCACGTGGGCACGTGGGCACGTGAGCACGTGGGCACGTGGGCACGTGGGCGCGTGGGCGCGTGGGCACGTGGGCGCGTGGGCACGTGGGCACGTGGGCACGTGGGCACGCGGCCGTCACCACGCGTGCGTCCGACAACACAACGGGCCCGCACGCGTGTGAACGCACGGTGGCAACCGTACCCACGCCCCGCTCCATCCCGCCGCCGCCGCCGCGCACCTCAAATCCGAAGTTGAACGCCTGTATCATGGTCTCCTTGTAGTACTGCTGCATGCTGTAGCGCTCCACCTCCTCCATGTCGCCCTCGGCCTCCTGCACGAAGCGTGCGTTCACCTCCTCGATGGAGCCGCTGATCGTGTCGCACAGGCCCAGGGCCTCCACCTGCGCGGCACGGGCACGAGGGGGGGGGGGGGGGGGGGGGGGGAGCGCAGCGACATCAGAGACTCCGCGACCGTCCTCGCTGTTTGTACTTCTCATCTCAACATCCGATCTCCGCTCGCCGGGCCCTTTTACCGCGTTCAAAGCGTCGGCAATTTTATTCCGGTTTCCTGAGCGTGGAGCGCATCGCGAGGTTCGCCGCTGTGAAGGGCGCAGCACAAAATAAACACGGGAATTCCTATCATCATCCTCATCATCATCCTGTATTATTACCCTGACGACCTGCCGGTTCGTAGAGGCCACGTGATTGGTCACCGTGCACGGCTCCCCACGGGTAAATGCGCCTGCTCGCTCGCGCCCCCTGCCGGCGCAGGGGGCCTCTCCGCCAGAGGCCGCTCTTAGATGGGGGTATTTTTTTTTTTTTGGCCTGCTCTTCCACGTGTCGCGCGACCTGCCTTGAGCGCCTCCAGGGCGTGCGCGATGGCGGGCCGCGTTGACGTCTGCTCGCTGTGCAGCCGCACGGCGTAGCAGGCGACGCGCTGGAACGCCTTGCGCTGCTCCTGCAGGACGCCCGAGTGCAGCGCCACCAGCAGCAGGCTGCACACCTGGGGGGGGGGGGGGGGGGGGGGGGGGGGGGTCCCCGCACCGCACGTGGTCAGGGATCGCGAGGTCAGGTCGAGAGGTCGGGTCGAGAGGTCGGATCGCACGGCAATACCGCGCGCTCACACACACACAGCCACGTCACGTGATCGCACACACAGCCACGTCACGTGATCACACACACAGCCACGTCACACGATCACTCATACGGTCACACGCAGTCACACGTACGGTCACACGCAGTCACGTCACGTGATCACACACACAGTCACGTCACGTGATCACACACACAGTCACGTCACGTGATCACACACACAGTCACGTCACACGGTCACACACGGTCACATTACACAGTCACACACGGTCACACGCAGTCACGTCACGTGATCACACACACAGTCACGTCACGTGATCACACATACAGTCACATCACGTGATCACACACACAGTCACGTCACACAGTCACACACGGTAACATGACACAGTCACACACGGTCACACACAGTCACGTCACGTGATCACACACACAGCCACGTCACACGGTCACTCATACGGTCACACGCAGTCACGCGGTCACTCACACGCTCCATCGCGTCGTCGCACACAGTCACAACGTAACGTCAATTCGGCAGACTCCTCGCTGGCTGCTGCTGCTGCTGAAGGGCCCCACCTGTTGTTTGTGTGCCTAAGCATCAATTGCTCCCTTACAATCAGCACACCAGATTTCCCTTGCGGCTAAAGACGGCACAGTTGAAGACAGACAGCGCAACCAAGACGGTGCAGACGAGACAGAGGGGCACTGACGGGACAGCACCGAGGGGGATAGGTGACACAGATGAGAGAGAGAGCAGAGGCCAGACAGCAATTCTATTCTAGATTTGAAGCTTTCGTGACTGCAAGGATCCATACTCTTTGGTTCTATTCGGTGAAGTCACGTAAAAGTATAAAACAACAAAAAAAAATCACGACGTTTCGGCCACAACACAAGTGGCCTTCATCAGGTGAAGGGACCAGACTGTCTCGAGGACAGCGCTGGAGTGAACACAGGCAAGCTTAGACACCGACCTTTAAGCTTGTGTGAGAGGAATTAAGGTGCCTTGACAAAGGAATTATCATAAAAAATTAGCATTTGATTGGCGGACTTAGCATGATGAACGGTGTAGAGGGGGTGAACATGTGCAGACCGGCGAGGGGGGGAGGGGGAGTTTACATATTGATGGTGTGAAAAGGGAATTTAAGCAGCTGCGGAAGTTTGGGGTACCACTACTTGAAAAAATATACTGTACCATTGAAAATTAGTTTAATGTTTGGTTCCATTTAGAACATCTTTCCAATGGTTGCTTAATTTGAAACCATCTTATCGGTTTAAATTGTGTCTGAGCTTGGCTGTGTTCACTCCAGCGCTGTCCTCGAGACAGTCTGGTCCCTTCACCTGATGAAGGCCACTTGTGTTGTGGCCAAAACGTCGTGAATTTTTTTGTATTTTTTATTTTTTGTTGTTTTATACTTTTACGTGACTTTACCGAATAGAACCAAAGAGTATAACAAGCAATTACTCGGTGCGCGGACCGTGCAGACAAGGCAGTAGTTCCAGAAAGGGTAAAGCCTATTCTTATTTTTTCACCATCTTGATGTTGGTGAAAAGGTCCCACAGATATAACTGCCCCAGCCGAGCTACTAATACTTTTTGGTTCTTTCGGTAAAGTCACGTAGGTAGGAAAAAAATAACAACAGATCCACGACGTTTCGGTCGCAACACAAGCAATCGTCATCAGGTGAGGCAGCCACAGCAATAAAACTCCTTCAGCGAGGTCGGGTCGCGAGGTCGGGTCTCGGGGTCGGGTCGTGGGGGTCGGGTCGCGAGGTCGGGTCGCGAGGTCGGGTCGCGAGGTCGGTTTCCTTGCTGTGGTTGTCCCACCTGATGACGGGCGTTTGTGTTGCGCGCGAAACGTCGCGATTTAATTTATTTTATTTTCCTACCTACGTCACTTTACCGAAAGAACCAAGGCGTATGGATCCCTGCAGTCACGAAAACTTCAAATCTGCAGGTGGTGAGACAATCAGTTCCAAGGGCAATGCAAACGATGTTATCAGACGCATGTTTTGCCACAAGCATGCTTGTTAAAGCAGACTTGATTCCTTGCAATAGGTGCGCCCTCGTTTAAAACACGAGCACAGCTCGTGTTTTAAATGCCAGAAAAGGGTCGAAGCCTCGTCCGTCTGTTCTGGCAAAAAAGGTCCCAGAACACGCCGGGCTGTTGGAAGAGGTGGGGGGAGTCACCCACACTTTACCCCGCCAATCACACGAAAAATCCACTCTCCACGGTTCTTTCGGTAAAGTCACGTAGATAGAAAAAATAATAATACAAACAAAGCGATGAAAAAATATCACGACGTTTTCGATCGCGACACAGGCGATTGAAAACGTCGCGATATTTTGAATCGCTTTATTTGTATGAAAAAAATGTCTACATACGTGTGAATTCCTGCAGTCACGAAAGCTTTGAGTCAAAATTTACACGAAAAAACCTGCCGATCATAGACCGTGGTGAACACCATCCGTGAGCCCATTTGTAATTTCCCACTGTTGGGTGGACAGAGACGGTGGAGGTGGTCGTAGGTGGCAGTCGTGGAGGCGGTCGAGGGGACGAACCGACGGGGAGCTCGAGCGACGACAGAGCTGTCGCTGCCGCGAGCCTCACCTGCACGTCCTGCAGCGTGTTGATCGTCTCCGTGGTGAGGCTGACCCTCATCGTCCGGCCGCACCACTCCGCTCGGACGCTTCCCCCGCCCCCCCCGGCCTCGCCGCCCCGGGGTCCCACGCCGCTCGGCTCCTCCACGACGCCGCTCGGCTCGGCGCTCCCCTCTTCAGCCCCGGCGCTCCCCTCTTCAGCCCCGGCGCTCCCCTCTTCCCTCCTCCTCGTCCTCGCTTCTTCGCCGAGTCTCATCCCCTCTTCCGTCCGCTCGCCTTCTTCTTTCCGCTGTCTCCTCTCCTCCTCGAGGCGTCTCGCCTCTTCACCCCGGTCTCCTCGTTCCTCCTCGCAACCGTCACCGCCGCCGCCGCCGTCGCCGCCGTCACCGCCGTCACCGCCGTCGCCACCGCCGCCGCCATCCTCGCCCTCGTCGCTCTCATCGTACGCGGCCAGAAAGTCCTCTCCGCTTGTGCCGGGCTCCTCCACTCCGCCGCTGCCATTTCCATGTCCGGGCTGCTGCCGCCGCTGCTGTCCGGGCTGCTGCTGCTGGTCTCCACGGTGCCGCTCCTGCTGCTGCTCCTTCTCCTGCTGCTCCTGCTGCTCCTGCTGCTGCTCCTGCTGCTGCTCCTGCTGCTGCTCGTGGTGCCGGTGGTGCCGGCCGCCGGCGGGAGCGGCGTCGCCGCCCGCCCCGCCGCCCCGCGGCCGCAGCAGCAGCAGGTAGCCGCCGGCGGCCGCGGGGGCCTCCAGGCCCGAGCAGTCGCGGCCGCAGGCGGCGCTGAGCAGCTGCAGCACGAGCGGCCGGTGCTCGCCTAGCGGCGCCGGCACGAACACCTGCACGGGCTCCAGGTCCTCCAGCAGCACCTGCGTGAGAGCGAGGGTGGGGGTGGAGCGCACGGCCACACTGCGCTACGGGGGGGGGTAGAGGTGTAACAGGAAGCTTGGGCGAGGTGTGCGCTGAGTGGTGCATTGTGTCGGCGTGGTGTGGTGAACTTGAGTGTGGGTGGCTGGTTTGTTTACATGACGTGTATGTAGGACAGGAAGGTGAGCGCGTGCGGGTGAGCTCGTGTCTGAGTGAGCTCGTGTGTGAGTCAGCTCGTGAGTGAGTCAGTTCGTGTGAGTCAGCTCGTGAGTGAGTGAGTGAGCTGGTGTGTGAGTCAGCTCGTGTGTGAGTGAGTCAGCTCGTGTGTGAGTCAGCTCGTGAGTGAGTCAGCTCGTGTGTGAGTGAGTCAGCTCGTGTGTGAGTGAGCTCGTGAGTGAGTCAGCTCGTGTGTGAGTCAGCTCGTGAGTGAGTCAGTTCGTGTGAGTCAGCTCGTGTGTGAGTGAGTGAGCTGGTGTGTGAGTCAGCTCGTGAGTGAGTCAGCTCGTGTGTGAGTCAGCTCGTGTGTGAGTGAGCTCGTGAGTGAGTCAGCTTGTGTGTGAGTCAGCTCGTGAGTGAGTCAGCTTGTGTGTGAGTGAGTGAGCTCGTGTGTGAGTCAGCTCGTGTGTGAGTGAGTGAGCTGGTGTGTGAGTCAGCTCGTGAGTGAGTCAGCTCGTGTGTGAGTCAGCTCGTGAGTGAGTCAGCTCGTGTGTGAGTCAGCTCGTGAGTGAGTCAGCTCGTGAGTGAGTCAGCTCGTGAGTGAGTCAGCTCGTGTGTGAGTGAGCTCGTGTGTGAGTCAGCTTGTGAGTGAGTGAGCTCGTGAGTGAGTCAGCTCGTGTGTGAGTGAGCTCGTGTGTGAGTCAGCTTGTGAGTGAGTCAGCTCGTGAGTGAGTCAGCTCGTGTGTGAGTGAGCTCGTGTGTGAGTCAGCTCGTGTGTGAGTCAGCTCATGAGTGAGTCAGTTCGTGTGTGAGTGAGCTCGTGTGTGAGTGAGCTCGTGAGTGAGTCAGCTCGTGTGTGAGTCAGCTCGTGTGTGAGTCAGCTCGTGTGTGAGTGAGCTCGTGTGTGAGTCAGCTCGTGAGTGAGTCAGCTCGTGAGTGAGTCAGCTCGTGTGAGTGAGCTCGTGTGTGAGTCAGCGCGTGTGTGAGTCAGCTCGTGAGTGAGTCAGTTCGTGTGTGAGTGAGTGAGCTCGTGAGTGAGTCAGCTCGTGAGTGAGTGAGCTCGTGAGTGAGTCAGCTCGTGTGTGAGTCAGCTCGTGTGTGAGTCAGCTCGTGTGTGAGTGAGCTCGTGAGTGAGTGAGCTCGTGAGTGAGTCAGCTCGTGTGTGAGTCAGCTCGTGTGTGAGTGAGCTCGTGAGTGAGTGAGCTCGTGAGTGAGTCAGCTCGTGTGTGAGTCAGCTCGTGTGTGAGTGAGTGAGTGAGCTCGTGAGTGAGTCAGCTCGTGTGTGAGTCAGCTCGTGTGTGAGTCAGCTCGTGAGTGAGTGAGCTCGTGAGTGAGTCAGCTCGTGTGTGAGTGAGCTCGTGTGTGAGTGAGCTCGTGTGTGAGTCAGCTCGTGAGTGAGTCAGTTCGTGTGTGAGTGAGTGAGCTCGTGAGTGAGTCAGCTCGTGAGTGAGCTCGTGAGTGAGTCAGCTCGTGTGTGAGTCAGCTCGTGTGTGAGTCAGCTCGTGTGTGAGTGAGCTCGTGAGTGAGTCAGCTCGTGTGTGAGTGAGCTCGTGAGTGAGTGAGCTCGTGAGTGAGTCAGCTCGTGTGTGAGTCAGCTCGTGTGTGAGTGAGTCAGCTCGTGTGTGAGTGAGTGAGCTCGTGAGTGAGTCAGCTCGTGTGTGAGTCAGCTCGTGTGCGAGTCAGCTCGTGAGTGAGTGAGCTCGTGTGTGAGTGAGCTTGTGTCTGAGTGAGCTCGTGAGTGAGTGAGCTCGTGTGTGAGTCAGCTCGTGTGTGAGTCAGCTCGTGAGTGAGTCAGCTCGCGAGTGAGTCAGCTCGTGTCTGAGTGAGCTCGTGAGTGAGTGAGCTCGTGAGTGAGTGAGCTCGTGTGTGAGTCAGCTCGTGTGTGAGTCAGCTCGCGAGTGAGTCAGCTCGTGTGTGAGTGAGCTCGTGTGTGAGTGAGCTCGTGAGTGAGTCAGCTCGTGTGTGAGTCAACTCGTGTGTGAGTCAGCTCGTGAGTGAGTGAGCTCGTGAGTGAGTCAGCTCGTGTGTGAGTCAACTCGTGTGTGAGTCAGCTCGTGAGTGAGTCAGCTCGTGAGTGAGTCAGCTCGTGAGTGAGTCAGCTCGTGTGTGAGTGAGCGCGCCACGTGGCTGTCAGGGCCGGCTGTGCCGCGTACCTTGACGTGACCGCTCGTGGCCAGGAGATGGAGCAGCTCATCCACCGACGACGATAAAACAAACTCGGCAGCCAGGCCCAGATCCTGACGCGTGCACGCAACACATACACAGAGAGAGAATCAGAATCTCTATTTATCCTGTAGAAATCTTATGAACTATGAAGCTCTTTTTAACAAATGGCCAGTACACAAAGACAAAACAAACATCCCCCAATTTTGCCTAAAGAGACTTTTGGGGGCAAGCGCCGTTAGCGAGCACCTACGAAGGCCGGCACGGCACACGAGGGGGTGGGTGGCCAGCACCGCGCCCGGCCGCCTTTGTCTCCCCAGTGGCGATATTTACTACACACCGCACCAGGTTACTCATTTGAGGCTGCGTCGACCTAGGGGAGGCCCAGGGCCGGTTCAGATGTTCGTCACCGGTGTTGGCCGTGAGCGGGAATCGAACTCGGCAGGCCTGGACCTTTGCGAAGCGTTGCGCTCACCGCTGCACTCACTCTGCACACTCACGCGCGTCGTCACCAGACACACGTGGATTCTACTCACATTGACACCCGACGGACACGCACGCACACGCGCAAAGACAAATATCCCCCGTGTAGCCGTCCACAAACTGTCGGGACAAGTGCCGTTCTGCGAACGCCTGCCGAGGCCAAAAAGGCGCGCAAAAGAGGGTGGGGGGTGGCCAGCACCACCCCCGGCCGCCTTTGTCTCCCCCACGCTCACTCACACGCGCGCCTACGTCACGGCAAGGTGGCAGCACAGAGAGGAGTGAGCGGCGGAACCTTCTTGAGCATCTTGGCGAAGCCGAGCGCCTTGGAGGCGCGCTCGCGAGCCTCGTGGAAGAGCTCCTTCACGGCTCGGCACGTCTCGATCACGGAGCGCCTGAAACGCAGACAACATCCCGGGGGAGAGGACGCCGGGGAGACACACGTGACGTGGGGAGAGACACACACACACACACACGTGACGTGGGGAGACACACACACACACGTGACGTGGGGAGACACACACACGTGACATGGGGAGAGACACACACACACACGTGACGTGGGGAGAGACACACACACACACACGTGACGTGGGGAGAGACACACACACACACACGTGACATGGGGAGAGACACACACACACACGTGACGTGGGGAGAGACACACACACACACACGTGACGTGGGGAGAGACACACACACACACACACACGTGACGTGGGGAGAGACACACACACACACACACGTGACGTGGGGAGAGACACACACACGTGACGTGGGGAGAGACACACACACACACGTGCGCAGGGTGAGACACACACACACGCAGCGAGAAGGTGAGAGTGATACACACACAGGGTGAGACACACACAGGGAGAGACAAAGATGCCCCCGTGTGTAGCCTTAACAGACTGTAGGGGCAAGTGCTGTTAGCGAGCACCTATGAAGGCCGGCACGGCACATGAGGGGGTGGGTGGCCAGCACCACATCCCCGGTGGCGATGTTTACACACCACACGAGGTACTCATTCGAGGCTGAGTCGACCTAGGGGAGGCCCAAGACTGGTTCAGATAATCGTCACTAGTATTGGCCATGAGCGGGCATCGAACTCGGGCTGTCGGGTTCATAGGGCAATGCACTAATCGCCGATATCTCTGGAAAAGGACACAAGGCAGAGAGAGAGAGAGCTACTACCATTGTACACAGAGTAACACAGAGTAACACGCACACACACAGAGGCACACACACAGGGTAACACACAGGGTAACACACACAGAGTAACACACACAGAGTAACACACGGAGTAAAACACACACAGAGTAAAACACACAGAGTAAAACACACAGAGTAAAACACACAGGTTAACACACAGGGTAACACACAGAGTAACACACAGGGTAACACAGAGAGTAACACACAGAGTAAAACACACACAGAGTAAAACACACAGGTTAACACACAGGGTAACACACAGAGTAACACACAGGGTAACACACAGAGTCACACACAGAGTAACACACAGGTTAACAGAGGGTAACACAGAGAATAATACACAGGGTGACACACAGGGTAACACACACAGAGTAACACACAGGGTAACACACAGGGTAACACAAACAGGGTAACACACAGGGTAACACACACGGTAATACACAGGGTAACACACAGAGTAACACACAGGGTAACACACACAGAGTAACACACAGGGTAACACACACAGAGTAACACACAGGGTAACACACACAGAGTAACACACAGGGTAACACACAGAGTAACACACAGGGTAACACACACAGAGTAACACACACGGTAACACACACGGTAACACACAGGGTAACACACAGAGTAACACACAGGGTAACACACAGAGTCACACACAGAGTAACACACAGGTTAACAGAGGGTAACACAGAGAATAATACACAGGGTGACACACAGGGTAACACACACAGAGTAACACACAGGGTAACACACAGGGTAACACAAACAGGGTAACACACAGGGTAACACACACGGTAATACACAGGGTAACACACAGAGTAACACACAGGGTAACACACACAGAGTAACACACAGGGTAACACACAGAGTAACACACAGGGTAACACACACAGAGTAACACACAGGGTAACACACACAGAGTAACACACAGGGTAACACACAGAGTAACACACAGGGTAACACACACAGAGTAACACACACGGTAACACACAGGGTAACACACAGGGTAACACACACAGATTAACATACAGAGTAACACACAGGGTAACACACAGGGTAACACACACAGAGTAACTCACAGAGTAACACACAGGGTAACACACAGAGTAACACACAGAGCAACACACAGGGTAACACACAGAGAAACACACAGAGTAACACACAGAGTAACACACAGAGAGTAACACACAGAGAGTAACACACAGAGTTACACAAAGAGAGTAACACACAGGGTAACACACAGGGTAACACACAGGGTAACACACACGGTAATACACAGGGTAACACACAGAGTAACACACAGGGTAACACACACAGGGTAACACAGAGAGTAACACACAGAGTAAAACACACACAGAGTAAAACACACAGGTTAACACACAGGGTAACACACAGAGTAACACACAGGGTAACACACAGAGTCACACACAGAGTAACACACAGAGTAACACACAGGTTAACAGAGGGTAACACAGAGAATAATACACAGGGTGACACACAGGGTAACACACACAGAGTAACACACAGGGTAACACACAGGGTAACACAAACAGGGTAACACACAGGGTAACACACATGGTAATACACAGGGTAACACACAGAGTAACACACAGGGTAACACACACAGAGTAACACACAGGGTAACACACAGAGTAACACACAGGGTAACACACACAGAGTAACACACAGGGTAACACACACAGAGTAACACACAGGGTAACACACAGAGTAACACACAGGGTAACACACACAGAGTAACACACACGGTAACACACACGGTAACACACAGGGTAACACACAGGGTAACACACACAGATTAACATACAGAGTAACACACAGGGTAACACACAGGGTAACACACACAGAGTAACTCACAGAGTAACACACAGGGTAACACACAGAGTAACACACAGAGCAACACACAGGGTAACACACAGAGAAACACACAGAGTAACACACAGAGTAACACACAGAGAGTAACACACAGAGAGTAACACACAGAGAGTAACACACAGAGTTACACACAGAGAGTAACACACAGGGTAACACACAGGGTAACACAGAGAGTAACACACACAGAGTAACACACAGGGTAACACAGAGAGTAACACACAGAGAGTAACACACAGAGAGTAACACACAGAGAGTAACACACCGAGAGTAACACACAGAGAGTAACACACACAGGGTAACACACAGAGAGTAACACACAGAGAGTAACACACAGAGAGTAACACACACAGGGTAACACACAGAGAGTAACACACAGAGAGTAACACACAGAGAGTAACACACACAGGGTAACACACAGAGAGTAACACACAGGGTAACACACAGAGAGTAACACACACAGGGTAACACAGAGAGTAACACACACAGAGAGTAACACACAGAGAGTAACACACAGAGAGTAACACACAGAGAGTAACACACAGAGAGTAACACACAGAGAGTAACACACAGGGTAACACACAGGGTAACACAGAGAGTAACACACAGAGAGTAACACACACAGAGTAACACACAGAGTAACACACAGAGAGTAACACACAGAGAGTAACACACAGAGAGTAACACACAGAGAGTAACACACAGAGAGTAACACACAGAGAGTAACACACACAGAGAGTAACACACAGAGAGTAACACACACAGGGTAACACACAGAGAGTAACACACAGGGTAACACACAGAGAGTAACACACACAGGGTAACACAGAGAGTAACACACACAGAGAGTAACACACAGAGAGTAACACACAGAGAGTAACACACACAGAGTTACACACAGAGAGTAACACACAGGGTAACACACAGAGAGTAACACACACAGAGAGTAACACACACAGAGTAACACACAGAGAGTAACACACACAGAGTAACACACACAGAGTAACACACACACGAGAGAGAGAGAGACAGAGAGAGATGAACATTGGCGGTGTGACTGACCGGATGCCGTCGGACTGCACGCTGTCGTTGGGGCTCACGTGCAGCTCGGAGCACAGTCGGCGCGCGCCGTGGCGCAGGAAGTCGCCGGTGGAGTGCAGCAGCTCGCGAGCGATGTCACTGCGGCGACGAGAGTGGGGAACGGACGTCTACGCGGGACCCAAGTCAACACGGCTGGGGAGGTCAGTGGGTGGGTGGGTCAGCGGGTGGGTGGGCGGGTGCGTGAGCGGATAGGTGAGCGGGTGGGCGAGCGGGTGGGCGAGCAGGTGGGTGAGCGGGTCGGCGAGGGAGTAGCTGCGCGAGTGGGCGAGCGGGTAGGTGAGCGGGTAGGTGAGCGGGTAGGTGAGCGGGTAGGTGAGCAGGTGGGCGAGGGAGTAGCCGAGCGGGTGGGCGAGCGGGTGGGTGAGCGGGTGGGCGAGCGGGTAGGTGAGCGGGTAGGTGAGCGGGTAGGTGAGCAGGTGGGCGAGCGGGTGGACGAGCGGGTGGGTGAACGGGTAGGCGAGGGGCGAGCGAGCGGGTGAGCGAGCGGGTAGGTGAGGGGTAGGCGAGGGGGTAGCCGAGCGGGTGGGTAAGCGGGTAGCCAAGCGGGTAGCCGAGCGGGTGGGCGAGCGGGTGGGTGAGCGGGTAGGTGAGCAGGTGGGCGAGCGGGTGGCTGAGCGGGTGGGCGAGCGGGTGGGCGAACGGGTGGGCGAGCGGGTGGGCGAGCGGGTGGGCGAGCGGGTGGGCGAGCAGGTAGGTGAGCGGGTGAGCGAGCGGGTGGGTTGAATGCCGCACCAGAAGAGGGTGCCGGCCTGCGCCTCTCCCCCGCGCACGAGCGGCACCACCTGCTTGCTGAAGCCCCACTCCTCCTCCAGCAGGTTCTTGAGGCCATACGAGGCCTGGGGCAGGTGCTGCAGCATGCTGATCCAGCTCTGGATGTACTCGTAGTACACCTGCATGTAGACAAAGGTCCCCCGTATAGCCTTCACAGACTGTTGGGGAAAGTGCAGCGAGCGAGTAGCACCACCTACGAAGGCCCAGGCATGTCACACGTGATGCGAGTTGCGACGTTCACACACCGCACCAGGTACTCGTTTGAGGCTGAGCCGACCTCGGGGAGAACCAGGAGGTCGATATAATCGTCACTGGTGTTGGTGGTCGTGAAGGGGAATCGAACTCGGGTGGCCGGGTAAGGGGCGCAGCGCGCTCACTGCTACACTACATGCAGACAACAAGAACCGCCGCCATTCGCCACTAAGTGGCGGTGACGTCACCACGGCGCTTGTGCCAGGCTAGGTGCTCTTTATGGCCACGTTAAGTGTCGAACTTCCACTGGCAGGAGGTCACGGGACATAAATAGATGCCATGGGTCGACTGACTGAGATGACTGAAAGATGCACGACCTGTGCCCCCCTACTGTACCAACTTGCAGACACACAGACACGCACACGTGCACATGCCCCTTTTCCACTGGTACATGCGAGCCGAGCCGGCCTCACTCGGTGCCAAAACCTGCCTCGGGGCCAAGCAGGGCTGGGGTGTCCTCTGCGCGAGACAACCTGGCGCCTCCGCTTCGCTTGTAGGTGGTTGTGGTGGTGGTGTTGAGAGTGGCGGTGGGGGTCAGAGGGGTGTTGATAGTGGTGGTGGTGGTGGCAGTGGTGGTGGTGATAGCGGTGTTGATAGCGGTAGCGGTGATAGTGGTGATGGCGGTCTTGATAGTAGTGGTGATGGTGGTGATAATGGTGGTGGTGGGGATGGTGGTGATAATGGTGGTCATGGTGGTGATAGTGGTGGTGCTGATAGTGGTGGTGGTGGTGTTGACAGCGGTGGCGTTGTTGTCGACGCTCTCACGGTGAGCATCTTCTGTAGGTCGTCCTCGAACTCGTCGATGTCCTGCTCGGGCTCCGGCTGCTCCCCCTCGAGCACCGAGTGCGTCATCAGCTGGTAGTACTGCTTCACGATGAGGCCGCCCTTGATCACCTCCTTGCACTCTCGCACGAGCTGCACGCCCACACGCACGCACGGAGCGACGCACGTCCCCAAATGGGGCCTTCAACAGGCTGTTGGGGGCAGGTGCTGTTGGGGCCAGGTGCTGTTGGGGGCAGGTGCTGTTGGGGGCAGGTGCTGTTGGGGGCAGGTGCTGTTCGCGAGCAGCACCTGTCGCGGGGCACCACGGGCTGTTGTGGCGAGCGCCACGCCCGGCAAACGCACGCACGCGCACGGGCACACACGCGCGCGGGCACCTGCTTGACGCTGAGCAGCGAGGGCTCGCCCGCGGGCCTCTGTTCGAGCCGCAGCTTGAGGCACTCGTGGATGACGTTGAGCAGGATGCGGCACAGCACGAGGTACGCGGGCCGGAACGACGGCAGGCCCATGCGCTCCAGCTCGGCCAGCAGCTGGCGCCCGGCCTCCCCTCCCCCATCCCCCTCCTCTCCCTCCTCCCCCTCCCCCCCCTCGCCCGGAGGGGCAGCGGCGCACTCCTGCAGGGTGAGCCGCTCCAGCAGCTCGGGGAGGTAGTCCTGGGGGCTGCCGCCCAGCGCCAGCTCGCTGTCCTGTGGGACGCGGCAGCTGTGGTCAATCCACCGCTGGATGAGGGTAGGCCTGGCTGGGTGGGTGCTTTGCCGGGTTGGCGGCTGGTTAAGTAGGAGGGTGTGTGGGTGGGTGAGCGGGTGTGGCGGTCGACTCGGCCTCAAATGAGTACCTGGCGCAGTGTTTAATCATCACCATTGGGGAGACAAAGGCGGCCGAGCGTGGTGCTAGCCACCCACTCGGCCTTCAGAGGTGCGACTCGCCAACAGCGCTTTCCCCATCAGTCTGTGAAGGCTACACGGTGGATCTTCGTGTGCGTGCACGCGCGCACACACACACAAAGATCCCCCGTATAGGCTTAACAGACTGCTGAGGCAAGTGCTGTTAGCGAGTTGCCGGCACTGTGGCACACAAAGGGGCGGGTCGCCAGCACCACGCCCGGCCACCTTTGCACGAGGTACTTATTTGAGGCCGAGTTGACCTAGAGGAGGCCTAGGACCAGTTCAAACTATCGTCACCGGTGTTAGCCGTGAGCGGGAATCGAATTTGGCTCGCCAGATTTGTAGCGCAGCGTGCTAACCGCTACACTACCGCACACACACACAGATACAAGCACACACATAGACACACAACAACAACAACCGCCATTCGCCACTAAGTGGCGGTGACGTCACCACGACGCTTGTGCCAGGCCATGTGCACCTTGAGGCCACGTGAAGTGTCGAACGCCCGCTGGCAGGAGGTCACGGGGCAGACCCAGGTGCCACGGGTCGAATGACTGAGATGACTGGCTGATGCACCACCTGTGCCCCCTACTGTGCCAACCTGCTGTGCTTTAGCCACCCGGCGCTCCGCTCGTTGTTGTGAGCGTCGCTCCCCCGCCCTCCGTTGTTGTTGGAGGGCGACTGCCTCCAACTGCCCAGTAGCGTCCTTCATGAGCCTCCTCCACAGAGACTGATCTCGACACCGCTGGTAACAGTCATCGGCAAGTCCACTCAGCTCCACGTCCTCCTGTACCACGTCACTCCATCTCTTCTCTAGCCCGTGCCGCGCCCGTTTAGCCCCCTCGATCCGGCCGAACAAAAGCTGTTTCGGCATGCGGTGGCTGGGCATGCGGGCTACATGACCCAGCCAACGCAGCCTTGCCTGCCGGAGGAGCTCACCGATGGGACCTTGCCCAGATCTTTCAAGGATTTGTGAGCTCCTCACACAAACCAGCCTGGTTAAACCCAAGATGGATCGTAGGCAGGCTAGTCTAAATGTTTCTAACCGGTGAAGATGTTCCATTGGGGGGGTCCACGTTTCACAAGCGTAGAGAAGGGAGGGGATAACCGTGGCCGAGAAGACCTGAAGCTTAGTGCGGAGCAACAGACCAGGTAGCTTCCACACAGCGTTACGCAACCGATGAAAATATATTTCCGCTCGACTGATTCGGAGTGAGACCTCTGCTGTTAAACTGGAGCCGGTCATAAGCACACTGCCCAGGTATGGGAAACTCTCCACCCTCTCCACAACTTCCCTATCACCAATTGGGAGTTGTGGGGGTCGAGTGTCCGATGGTACAAGATACCCAGGCAGGTGCTTAGTTTTGGTGGGGCTGATGGTAAGGCCCCACCTCTTAGTGGCACGCTCCAGTCTCAGCAGCAGCGTCTCCAACTCCTCCTCTGACTGAGCAGCTATTACCAAATCATCAGCATACATAACGTGGTTGAGCAATAGGGAGCCATCCCTTGACCGCCCCCGGGCATCGATCAGCCTCCCATTATATCTGTACCATATGGAGATTCCCCCGGTACAGCTATTGAAGGCTTCACGAACTATGTGGTCAAAATAGATGTTAAATAATGTGGGAGCCAGAGGACATCCCTGTCGCACCCCAAGGTGTACAGGGAATGGCTCTCACTCCCGGCCACGTAGTTTTACCCGGGCCTGCTCACCATCATGAAGGTCCTTAATGATCGTGAGCAGAGGGTCAGGTACTCCAAAAGCACGAAAAACAACCCAGAGCCCAGGCCTACTGATGGTATCATAGGCCTTGACCATGTCAATAAAGCAGAGATGTAGGTCTTGCTGGAATTCCCTACACCTCTGCTGTAGCAGACGGACAGAAAATTTGGTATCTGTGCAGGACCGCCCTTTCCTGAAATCGCATTGGGGCTCCACAAGCCTCCCCTCAGCGTGCCTGGCAAGGCGATGTTGAATAATCCTTGCCAGGACCTTTCCCGGCACACTGAGGAATGAGATGCTCCTGTAGTTGTTACAGTCTGTGCGGTCCCCCTTCTTAAAGAGGGAGACCACTAGGGCATCCTTCCAATCCTGAAAACCCGTCCAGTGGTCCAGACACACACACATACGCAAATAGACACACACACACGCACACACACGCACACAGACACACACGCACACACACGCACATAGACACACACGCACATAGACACACACGCACATAGACACACACGCATATAGACACACACGCACACACACACGCACATAGACACACACACATAGACACACACGCACACACACGCACATAGACACACACGCACATAGACACACACGCACATAGACACACACGCATATAGACACACACGCACATAGACACACACGCACACACACGCACATAGACACACATGCACATAGACACACACGCAGATAGACACACACGCACATAGACACACACACACGCACATAGACACACACGCACATAGACACACACGCATATAGACACACACGCACATAGACACACACGCACACACACGCACATAGACACACATGCACATAGACACACACGCAGATAGACACACACGCACATAGACACACACACACGCACATAGACACACACGCACATAGACACACACGCACATAGACACACACACGCACATAGACACACACACGCACATAGACACACATGCACACAGACACACACACACACGCACCTGCTCGCCGTGCACCTCCGGCATGAGAGCGTCCCTGGCGCGACGGAGCGAGCCGTCCAGCAGCCGGTGGAGCCGCATGATCAGCTTGCGCAGCCCCATCTGCTTGAGCGCCTTGTCCACAAAGGGCCGGTAGATGGCCGTGTGACGCGCCGCGGGGGGCGGCCGCGACCCCTCGGACGACCCCTCCGTGTCCGGGGTTCCGGGCGACTCCTCTCCCTCGCTGTCGGCTCGACCGCCCCGGAAGAACGACTCCTGGAAACGGACGTGTGGCCTGGTGCCCGCGGCGATGGCGGCGGCGGTGCAGCGGGGTGCTGCTGCTGCTGCTGCTGCTGCGTGCGGCGAAGCGTAGAGACGAGGGATTGCTCTACAGTTATCCGCATGTCGGACTTCTTTCGCGCAGTACATAGCCAACCGTGCTGAACGGAGGTGCGGGCAAAGGAAGACAAACTCGAGGCAGAAAGACAGAGAGGAGTTCTAAACAAACGGGTTTTCAATACAAGCGACCGCAGACGTCGAGACTCACAAAGACGCCCCCCCCCCCTCCCCCCCCGGGTAGAGCCTTTAACAAACTGTTGGGGGCTAGAGTCGTGATGGACGCCTGTGAGGGCCCCCACGACGCACCGGGGTGGGTAGTGGGGGGGCGGGGGAGAGGGTCGGGGGGGTGGGTGGGTGCGGGCGGGCGGGCGGGCGGCAACACCGCTCACCTCCTCCCCGAGTCGCCACAACGCCGTCCACCTCCGCCTCTTCCACCACCACCACCATCTCCTCCTCTTCCTCATCGTCGGTCTCCGAGCCGGACGAGGCCCCGCCGTCGTCGGACGCGGCGTGACGGGCGGCCCCCCCTCCTCCTCCTCCTCCTCCTCCTCCGGACGCCCAGTGGGGCGACGTGACCTCGAAGACGGGCCACTCCATGCCGGGGACGTCGCGGATGGCCAGGATGGTGCCCATGAGGCCCAGCTTGTGGTTGAGGTCGCGCGTCACGTTCAGCCACAGGCACAGGGCCTTGACGCGCCGCTGGAAGTCGGCGGCGGCGTAGCGCGGGAACTCGCGCTGCAGCGCGTGCAGCGACGGGAACAGCGCCTCCAGCGAGTCCAGCTGCTCCAGCAGGGCCTTCACCTGGGGCGGCACGCGAGGCACGGACGTCACGCGCGGCACGGACGTCACGCGCGGCACGGACGTCACGCGCGGCACGGACGTCACGCGTGGCACGGACGTCACGCGCGGCACGGACGTCACGCGCGGCACGGACGTCACGCGCGGCACGGACGTCACGCGCGGCACGGACGTCACGCGCGGCACGGACGTCACGCGAGGCACGGACGTCACGCGCGGCACGGACGTCACGCGCGGCACGGACGTCGCGGGCGATTGTGCCGCGGTCGCGTGAGCGACGGGCGCCGGCGGGGAGCGTGGCGCGGCGGTGACGTCCGCTGCCTTGCGGCAGAAAGGCCCTGGGTTGGATTCCCCACTCGGACGCCGCTTTCAGTGTATGTCTGTTCTCCCCCTGTTCTGCGGAGAGTGAGTGGAGTTTGTATGATCTCCCCCTGTTCTACAGAGTGAGTGAGTGGAGTTTGTATGATCTCCTCCTGTTCTGTAGAGAGTGAGTGGAGTTTGTGTGATCTCCCCCTGTTCTGTAGAGAGTGAGTGGAGTTTGTATGATCTCCTCCTGTTCTGTAGAGAGTGAGTGGAGTTTGTATGATCTCCCCCTGTTCTGCGGAGAGTGAGTGGAGTTTGTATGATCTCCCCCTGTTCTGTAGAGAGTGAGTGGAGTTTGTATGATCTCCCCCTGTTCTGTAGAGAGTGAGTGGAGTTTGTATGATCTCCCCCTGTTCTGTAGAGAGTGAGTGGAGTTTGTATGATCTCCCCCTGTTCTGCGGAGAGTGAGTGGAGTTTGTATGATCTCCTCCTGTTCTGTAGAGAGTGAGTGGAGTTTGTATGATCTACCCCTGTTCTACAGAGTGAGTGAGTGGAGTTTGTATGATCTCCTCCTGTTCTGTAGAGAGTGAGTGGAGTTTGTATGATCTCCCCCTGTTCTGTAGAGAGTGAGTGGAGTTTGTATGATCTCCCCCTGTTCTACAGAGTGAGTGAGTGGAGTTTGTATGATCTCCTCCTGTTCTGTAGAGAGTGAGTGGAGTTTGTATGATCTCCTCCTGTTCTGTAGAGAGTGAGTGGAGTTTGTATGATCTCCCCCTGTTCTGTAGAGTGAGTGAGACACCGGTGACGACTATCTAAATCGGTGCTGGGCCTCCCCTAGGTCGACTCAGCCCCAAATGACCTGGTGCGGCGTGTAGTAAACATCGCCACTGGGGGGACAAAGGCCGTGCCAGCCTTCATAGGTGCTTGCTAGCAGCACTTGCCCCAACAGTCTGTTCAGGCTACAGGGGGGATCTGTGTCCTTGTGTGTGGAGTTTGCGTATTCAGCCCCCTAGGTCGACTCAGCCTCAAAAGAGTGCCCAGTGAGGTACACAAACATCGCCCATCTCCCTACTGCACAAAACCTGATTGAAAACCGAGTGTTTGAAATTCATACCTAGCGCAGTTGGCTACGTATGGTGCGAAACAAGTTCGACATACGGTAAAACCTCATTGTTTCGGTATTTGATCATCCGAAATTGTGAAATTTAAGGTGTGTGACGAGTTTGGAAAACAATTTTGGAACACATTTTTTTTTTATTGGGGCAGGAGGCACTGGGGAATACTACTGCACATCATTGGGAACATTGGATCACTCGGCAAGGCCAGAGCCCCATATGTGTCGACTTAACAACAAGGGTTTTCCATACTCATTGTGTTTTTTCCGGTAAAGTCACGTATGTGGAAATAAAATAAAATTGTGATAAAATAAAATTAGATTAAAATAAATCACGACGTTTCGAAACGCAACACAAGCGCTCATCATCAGGTGGAAACGGGGTAAAACGCACAGCGAGGGAACACACAGAGGGACGCCACGCACGTAGAGAACGCCAAACTGCACGGAGGCAAAATACAGCGAGGAGATGGGAGACGCAAACTCAACAAACCTTAGAAACATAATGCGATGCAAACCAGTCGGCCAACAACAACACAGTTAGACACACTAACCTGGTTGAACACTGCTAAATCTTGCGTTCTCATCCTCCGGGCTGAACGTACCAACGTCAACGGAGGACAGGGACTCGTGAAACAGACACGAGGCACCAAGAGGTACATACACAGAGGAGACGCACAGGGAGAGACGTTTTGGGCAGCACAGAGGGGGGACAGCCAAACAGACGTCTTTCCTGGTCGAACAACGGGAACGATAAAAACATGGAGCAGCTTGAGCCGCATCTCATCTCCAAACAATCGAAGAGACACCCCCAGCGATAGCTGTCCCTGTGCCGTGCAAGAAATGCGACTCGGTAGCCGGCCTAAAATCTGGCATCATTCTGCCAGGATGGCGTAGGGGGTTTGGTGGTGGGAGAGGGGGGGGGGGAATGACCGCTGCTAGATGCAACCATTTGCGTGCGTGCGTGCGTGTGTATGTACGCGTCACGGGTGAACTGCGCCTGGCACGGGGGAACCCTCTCACCTGCTGGCACGCCTCCTTCTGCAGCTCCAGGTGGGCGGGCTCGATGAGCCGGAACCCGAGCGAGCAGCGCGGTCGGTCGCCCGCCCCGTGCTGCAAACTGCAAATGGCGTGCGGCGGCGGCGGCGGCGGCGGCGGCACCGGCGGCACCGGCGGCAGCGGCGGCGGCGAGGCCGACAACGACGCCGGCGGCGGTTTCGGCAACGGCGGCGGCGGCGGCTGCGGCGGAGGTTGCGGCCGCTCCTCCGCTTCGCTCACGAGCGTCGGCGGCGACTCGCGGCGCCGCCGCGCCGGCGCCGCCTCCGCCTCCGCCGCCTCCGTTCCCTCGCCGTCACCGGAGGCCGCCGGCGGGACCGCGAGCCGGCCCGGCGCCGATTGCGAAATTCCCGCGTCGCTTCCGAGTCCGCCGCTGCCGTCATCGCCGCCGCGTTCCGTCGCAGCCATTGTCCAAGTCCCTCGCTGCTGCTGCTGCTGCTGCTGCCGCCGCCTCCCCAACGCGGCGTCGCCGCCCTGCGCCATCGCCAACCGCCGCCGCGCCTCTGCCTTGGCGTCCGCGCCCGTGCGACCCGCCCCCGTTTCCGGCAAGCTTTGGCCGCGGGCCGCCGAAAAGCCCTCCTCCGCAGCGCCGCCGCCGCCGCCCGGCGTCGCCGCCGCCGCCGCCGCCGCCGCCGCCGCCGCCGCCGGGCGGAAGGCCGGCGGCGGCGGCGGCCGACACGACACGTGGCGGAGCGCGACCCGGAAGTGCAGCACGTCCTGCATGACCTCGGGGATGGCGTGCCGCGCCGTGTACAGGTACATGTCCTGCTCCGTCATGCTGCGGTTGGCGTGCCAGGCCTGCAGCTCCAGCCAGATCAGCTCGTTCCACTGGTTCTGCCACAGCAGCTGCGGCCCGCCGGCGGACGAGGTCGCGGACGACGGCGCGCCCGACAGGAGGCCGACGCCGGCGGCGCCCGCGCCGCCCGCGCCGGCCGCGCCGGCGGGCGAGGTCCCGGGCAGACGCCCCGGCGTCACCGGGTCCTTCTCCTTGCGCTTGTTGAGCATCAGCAGCAGCTTGAGCGTCTCGAAGAAGCGCAGGCGGTCGGCCGGCATGTCGGTGCGCGAGCTCTGGCGCTGCGGGCGCAGCACGAGGCTGGGCCGCGGCGCCGCCAGCTTGCTCGAGCCCAGCGACAGGAACGGCTTGGGCAGGTCCACGTTGGGGATGTTGGCCGGGCCGGGCGGCGCCGCCGGCGGTTGCGTCGTCGCCGGCGACGACGCGACCGCCGGCGACGCCGGCCCCTGGTCGCGTTCGAGGTCACCGTGACCCAGCTGCTTGCGGTCGCGGTCCACGCTGCGTGCCATGGACAGCTGCTTCTTCTTGAGCTCGTAGCCGGCGCCGGGGTCGTCGCGCTCGCCCAACGGGAACCGGCGCCGCCCGCCAAAGTCCAGCGCCGGCGAGGGGCTCATCGCGCCCTTGCCTGCGGGCACGCCGGTGGTGGGCGGGGGGGGAGGAGAGGAGAGGCACGGGGTTAGTGTGGGAGGGGTGGGAGAAGGATTTGTCGATTTCTGGCCGCGTCGACGGCCAGCGGAGGGGCGACGGCTGGAACGGGTCCCCCGCAGCTGGCCAACGACTTGAGTTCGACTCCAGAACACGGCCAACGTCAGTGGCAAAAGTGCAAACCCTTCACGGGGCCCGGCGCGGCCACGTTTCGCGGCGAGCTGAACAGCAGTCCTGAGAAACGCGGTGACATTCAAACGCCGCGAGATGAATCCACGTCGCACGGTGACCAACGGCGGTCCAATGCGATCCCACAAAATCCCATTAGGGGGTGGGGCACTGCCTAACGCAATCGCAGCGATGCTGGTTGATAAGGGAATGTTGCGGCCTGTGAAGCTACGGCAGCCACCACACCACCACCACCACCCAGTCACATTGAACGCAAAAGCCAGAATCATTCATTGACACTGGAGGAATCCGATGAGCACTACGATTAGCGCGGTTGGCTACGTACGCTGCGAAAGAAGTTCAACATACACAGAAACAACACACCGGTGTGCTGAAGTAGTAACTAACTGGCACTTCTAGATTTGAAGCTTTCGTGACTGCAAGGATCCATACTCTTTGGTTCTATTCGGTAAAGTCACGTTGGTAAAAAAATAAAATAACAAAAATCACGACGTTTCGGCCACAACACAAGTGGCCTTCATCAGGTGAAGGGACCGTGCTGTCACCTACGTGACTTCACCGAATAGAACCAAAGAGCACGAACTGGCACGTTTCGTTTACGCGACAAGCCTCGCCAACGGGCGGTGTCGGGTGGTGGTGGGCGAACGACACCTTTATATTCACGCGATCTCAGCCCGTAACAACTTCTTCCCGGAGCCCTCCGGTTTTCCCGCTCCGCAATTCAGAATCGACGTCGCGCGCTTTCGGGTAATTTGGCCGCGATCGATTCCCGCGCGGAGACGTCATCATTCGGGACAGCCAGGTCACTTCTGAGGACGGGCTACGCGATAGCTCAGCGGGCCCCGACCTGGCTAAAGACTTCGTTTCTGCTTTTACAGTCCCGGAGACGCTGCCGCCCTCCCCGTGCGTGGGGCTGCCGCAGTGCAGTGGCTCGCACGCCTCACTCGCGGCCGGCACGCTCGCGTGGTGGGGGGCGGGGCGGGGCGGGGGGCGGGGGGCTGTGGCCACTTCCTCCATCCTTTGACGCTTCGCCGGCAATTCACACTCATACGTGCACGCAGGGGACAAAGAGACACCCCCCTCACCACCACCACCACCTCCCCCGTGTAGCCTTGAACAGGCTGTTAACGAGCACGTATTTAATGCCGGTGTTGCGGCGCACGAAGAGGTGAGTGGCCTGCACCACGCCCGGCCGCCTTTGTCTCCCGAGCGGCGATGTTTACACAACGCACCAGCGTACTCATTTGAGGCCGAGTCGACCCCGAGGGGAGGCCCGCGACCGGTTCAGACAATCGTCACCGGTGTTGGCCGCGAGCGGGAATCGAACCCCGGGTCGCCGGAGCCCCACTCCCCGTGTCACCCTTCCCCCAACCGCCCCCGACCCACCGCTGTCCACCCAGCGGTACGAGTAAGCAACATCCAATCTTGATTTGAAGCTGTCGTGACTGCAGGAATCCGCACTCTTTGGTTCCCTCGGTAAAGTCATCACGTACGTGGAAAAATCATAGGTCACGACGTTTCGATCGCCACACAAGCAATCGTCTTCCGGTGAGAGAGAGAAACAAACTCCCTCCCACCAAAGAGTAAGCAACGGCATCCGTTCGGCAGGTACAGCGTGGCGGCGTCAAGTGTGGACATGGGGGAAGAGCAGACCAAACAGGCACTCCAGATCCCGCTCCTAGCGAAGCCTAGGAGGGTCGCGTTCACCGCCGTGACCTTAAAAAGCAAAAGTTTGGGTGGGGGAGGGGGGTGGGGACTTGCGTCCGACATTCCGAGAACGCATTGTGTCGACGGGAAGGCGCGGTTCTTCTTGATCTCGCCGTTCGGAATCGTCTCTCCGGATATCGGTTTCCCCCGCGCGCGCCGGCGATGCACGGCCGCCCAGGGGGAGGGGAGAGAGAAGACCCCGCGAAGCCGTTCACAATCGGTCTTCCACGAGACGCCTCTCGCCACCACGAGGCACCGGCCACGTGGCTGGCAGCTCACAGCCGCGCTGCGACAACGCCCCCCCGGCACGCAACCGCCGGTGGCGGTCACCCTCGCAAGCGCAGCACACACGCAGCACACGTGCAGCACACACGCAGCACACACGCAGCACACGTGCAGCACACACGCAGCACACACGCAGCACAAGCGCAGCACACGTGCAGCACACGTGCAGCACACGTGCAGCACAAGCGCAGCACACGAGCAGCACACACGCAGCACACGTGCAGCACACGTGCAGCACACACGCAGCACAAGCGCAGCACACGAGCAGCACACACGCAGCACAAGCGCAGCACACGAGCAGCACACGAGAAGCACACACGCAGCACACACGCAGCACACGTGCAGCACACGTGCAGCACACACGCAGCACACACGCAGCACACACGCAGCACAAGCGCAGCACACGAGCAGCACACACGCAGCAGCAGACGGTGCCCTCCGTGTCCAGCACTCTCGCCTGTGTGGGAATTCCCATTTTAAAATGGAAAAAGGGATATCGGAGGTAGCTCTGTCATATCCGCTCCTGCGGGCCGTTCTGTGTGTGGAAGCGTCATTTGAACAGGGGATATCAGATCGGAGGTAGCTCTGTGATATCCGCTTCCATGGATTCCGTTCTCCGAAAAAACGCAGAGGGGCGGCCGCACCGCTCTGCAAGATTTCCCAACGAATTCTTCATCTCGTGACGCGGATAGCAACATCCGGGACCAACTTGGGGGGGGTGGGGGGGTGGGCATTTTGTTGTTGTTATTGCAACAATGATCCAGCCCAAAACCCAGCTTGGGCTGTAGCATTCATTCGTAGTGAGGAATTAAGACATGCACGCACGCACGCACACACGTGAGTGGTAGCCGCTGTCACGTGAGTGGCAGCAGCTGTCACGTGAGTAGCAGCAATAGTAGCTGTCACGTGAGTAGCAGTAGATGTCACGTGAGTAGTAGTAGATGTCACGTGAGTGGCAGCAGCTGTCACGTGAGTAGCAGTAGATGTCACATGAGTAGTAGTAGATGTCACGTGAGTAGCAGCAGCTGTCACGTGAGCAGCACCAGCAGCTGTCACGTGAGCAGCACCAGCAGCTGTCACGTGAGTAGTAGCAGCTGTCACGTGAGTAGCAGCAGCTGTCACGTGAGCAGCAGCAGCTGTCACGTGAGCAGCAGCAGCTGTCACGTGAGCAGCAGCAGCTGTCACGTGAGCAGCAGCAGCTGTCACGTGAGCGGCAGCAGCAGCTGTCACGTGAGTGGCAGCAGCAGCTGTCACGTGAGCAGTAGCAGCTGTCACGTGAGCGGCAGCAGCTGTCACGTGAGCGGCAGCAGCAGCTGTCACGTGAGCGGCAGCAGCTGTCACGTGAGCGGCAGCAGCTGTCACGTGAGCAGCAGCAGCAGCTGTCACGTGAGCAGCAGCAGCTGTCACGTGAGTAGCAACAGCTGTCACGTGAGCGGCAGCAGCTGTCACGTGAACGGCAGCAGCTGTCACGTGAGTAATAGCAGCTGTCACGTGAGTGGCAGCAGCTGTCACGTGAGTGGCAGCTGTTGTCACGTGAACGGCAGCAGCTGTCACGTGAGTAAAAGCAGCTGTCACGTGAGTGGCAGCAGCTGTGACGTGAGTAGTAGCAGCTGTCACGTGAGTAATAGCAGCTGTGACGTGAGTAGTAGCAGCTGTCACGTGAGTAGTAGCAGCTGTCACGTGAGTAGCAGCAGCTGTCAAGTGAGTAATAGCAGCTGTGACGTGAGTAGTAGCAGCTGTGACGTGAGTAGTAGCAGCTGTGAGGTGAGTAGTAGCAGCTGTCACGTGAGTAGCAGCAGCTGTCACGTGAGTAGCAGCAGCTCTTACGTGAGTAGCAGGTGTCACGTGAGTAATAGCAGCTGTCACGTGAGGAGCAGCAGCTGTCACGTGAGCGGCAGCAGCTGTCACGTGAGCGGCAGCAGCAGCTGTCATGTGAGCGGCAGCAGCTGTCGCGTGAGCAGCAGCAGCAGCAGCTGTCAAGTGAGCAGCAGCAGCAGCTGTCAAGTGAGCAGCAGCAGCAGCTGTCAAGTGAGCAGCAGCAGCTGTCACGTGAGCAGCAGCAGCAGCTGTCGCGTGAGCAGCAGCAGCAGCTGTCGCGTGAGCAGCAGCAGCTGTCGCGTGAGCAGCAGCAGCTGTCACGTGAGCGGCAGTCAGCGGCTGCGCTGCTGCGGTGGCACCACCGGCCGAAACCCTCCGTCACCGCTGCTCAACTCACCTCGGGCTCCCTTGCCGGGCCCCGTGGCGGCGACACCTCCTCCTCCCCCGGCGCCGGTGGCCGTGGCCGTGGGCGGGCGCCGGCCCTCGCGCCCGCTCTTGTGGTTGATCGCGCTGAGGCGAGCGTGCCGCTGACGCAGGGGCGGCGTGCTCTTGTAGTAGTCGCTGTAGTCGGACTCAAATTCCTCCTCCTCCGAGGTCATCTCGCCATCGCTGTCCGACGCAAAATCGCCAGAGCTGCGGGGGGGGAGGGGGGGGGCAGGCGGAGGGGGCAATGGGGATCGTGAGCGTCGGGGGTTGGTGGATCACGGAGGGACTTGATCGGCACGCATGCACACAGTAATCGTGTGTGGGGAACGGTAGTATAGGGGTTAGCGCACTACGTTACGAACTGAACGACCCAAGTTCGATTCCCGCTCACGGCCAGCACCTGGCACGCATATTTGAATCGGTCAGGGGCATCCCCTAGGTCGACGCAGCCTCAAATGAGTACCTGGTGTGGTGTGTAAAGTGAACATTGTGACTCGAGAAATAAAGACGTCCAGACGTGGTGCTGGCCAACCACCGCCTGGTGTGCCGTTACGGCCTTCCTCGGTGCTACTCGCTAACAGCACTTGCCCCAAAAAAGTCTGTTCAGGCCATAGCGGAGAACCTTTGCCTTTGTGTGAAACACTCGATCCTTCTCATGTCAGCGTCACTGTGCAAAATATAAATAACTAACGAGGCAGACACCTGCGATCGTCTGTACGACAAGCACTGCGTCTCATCACTAATCTATAGTCAATTCGCAGTCCCCCTTCTCGATCGTGGGCACCATCGGCAATCCATGCCATCTTCACACTGCGTCGCTCGCTCTCGCCTGCGCCGTCTCCCTCGTTCACGCCGCCGTGAGATCGCCGACGATTGGATTCCGCCGGGGCAAATAAATATTCCGATTCTCAAGCGGCGACGCTTCCTCTTGTGCTCAACTCGCGAAAACGCCGTGGGCTCGAGTGCGAGATCTGGTTCCCTGAACAACGCGGCCCCGCGTCTCCCGTTTATACGAAACCGCGCCGCGTGCCAGCCGCGGGGGGAAAATGTTTTCGCTGAAAAAATTCTTCGGCGGTGTCGTAAGGCGAGAGAGGCGCGTTTGTCGGCTGGTCGCGCAGAGCGCACCGCGCGGATTGCTCCCGACACCCCCCCCCCCCCCCCCCGCCGCGAAAGCGGCTACGGTTGACGGCGGCGGTGCCACTGCCTCGGGCCAATGATATTTCGGTCGAGCCAGACGGTGTTGTTGCTTCATTGAATATGATGACGGCACAGGCGTCGAATGGCAACATCTCGAGAATCCGCCCAGTCACCACCGAGCCCGCCGCTAGGGCGGGGGGGGTTCACCGTGAAAGTAATGTCGTTTCTCAACAGCGCGAGGCCGTCGTGAAGGCAGGGCGCTGTTGCGTTACACAGGTCAGTCTGCAGTGGGTACACAGTAGGGGCACGCCGACTGACGCGTTCAATCCCAATCGAGTAATTTTCCACCTTGCCAACCTCGATCGATGGCCTGCTCTTGTCGAATGACATCGCGGGATCTTTGACGTCCGCTTTTGAGCGCGCAGCATTTTAATGGTTCATCCGCACCGTGGCGTTGACCAGGGCGGCCCTTCGGGTTCAAACCACGAACCTCCACAACAAGCGGAGAACGCGCGACCGTGCGGCCACGCCACGGCAGCAATAACCAGGGCGGCCCACTGGGTTCGAACCGCGAACCTCTGCAACACTGTGCACGCCAGATGCACGTCGCGCCCAGGTTACCGGCCGCATCTGAAATGCTGGGAGCAAAACCCGACTCCGGCCGAATGACTCCTCATTATTGGTTCCAAGTGCACCTCGTGATGGATCGGTACGGACAGAACAACCCAACCATTGGACTCGCCCACCCACCACCATCACCAACGCAACCGCAACCGCCACAACTAACAACTACCAACGCAACCACCACGGCAACCGCTCTCACCACCACCACCACCACCACGAACGGCGCGCTCACGAGTTGAGCGACCGATCGGGGAGTTTCAGACACCCGCAAAAAACCGTACGGTGTGGGGGAGGCCCTCATCCAGCAGCGGAGCGATCAAGTGCGGCGCGCGTGCCCACGCTCGCGCCCGTCGCGTTCCAAGCGGCAGCGGGGGCGGTGATGAATCTGGGGCAGTTTCTGCGTTACCGGAAGAGACGTCGTGAGAAAAAACCGGTTGGTAACCGGTTTGAGCACAGAAACGTCTCGCGCAATAAACACAAAGCCGCCGGATCGGCTGTTGAACCGAGAAACGAAGGCGACCTGCCGCTGCTGCCGCTGCTGCTGCTGCTGCCGGTCGGTTCACGGCACCGGACCGTACGAGGGGGGTGATGGTGGTGGTGGGGGGGCTGGGGCCGCTATCTCCGGCCCGATCGTTGTCAGCGGCCCGATCGGCGAGCCCCAGCGGAGCTGATGCGGCACGGCGGCAGCCGCCGGTTGTGGACGTGCGATGCCCCGACTGAGAATGCGTGCACCCCCCCCCCCTCAAACCCCCCATCACCCCCCATCAACCCACCCACCACCAACCCCCCAAACCCACCCACCACCCCCCCCCCTCAACCCACCCCCCCAAACCCACCCACCACCAACCCCCCAAACCCACGCAACACCCCCCCTCAACCCACCCACCACCCCCCAAACCCACCCACCACCCCCCCCTCAACCCACCCGCCACTACACTACAATGCATTTTACTATACACTACAATGCATCATACCATACACTACACTACAATGCATTATACCATACACTACAATGCATTATACCATACACTACACTAAAATTAATTATACTATACACGACACTACAATGCATTATACTGTACACTACACTACAATTCATTATACCGTACACTACACTACAATGCATTATACCATACACTACACTACAATGCATTATACCATACACTACACTACAATGCATTATACCATACACTACACTACGATGCATTATACCATACACTACACTACGATGCATTATACCATACACTACACTACAATGCATTATACCATACACTACACTACAATGCATTATACCATACACTACACTACAATGCATTATACCATACACTACACTACAATGCATACCATACACTACACTACAATGCATTATACCATACACTACACCCCGCATGCCTAAACAGCTTTTGTTTGGCTGGATAGAGGGGGCTAAACGGGCGTAAAAGGACGTGGAGCCGAGTGGACTTGCCGATGACTGGTACCAGCGGTGTCAAGATCGGCCTCTGTGGAGGAGGCTCGTGAAGGACGCTACTGGGCAGTTGGAGGCAGTCGCCCTCCACCAACAACGGAGGGGTGGAGGAGCGACGCTCACAACAACGAGCAGAACGCCGGGTGGCTAAAGCACAGCAAGTTGGCACAGTAGGGGGGCACAGGTGGTGCATCAGCCAGTCATCTCAGTCAGTCGACCCGTGGCACCTGGGTCTGCCCCGAGACCTCCTGCCAGCGAGCGTTCGACACTTCACGTGGCCTCAACGTGCACCTAGCCTGGCACAAGCGTCGCGGTGACGTTACCGCCACTTAGTGGCGAATGGCGGTTGTTGTTGTTGTGAGACGCCAATTCAGTGATCTGCAAGCCGTATTTTCAGCAGTGGGATGTTGCGGGCAGCACCAGTCACAAAGTGTGTGGGGAGACGACGGGTGAGCACCAGTGAGGCTTCTCTGAACTGGTCCTGGGCCTCCCCTAGATCGACTCAGCCTCAAACGAGTACCTAGCGCGACGTGTAAAAACGTCGCCACTAGGAAGACAAAGGCGGCCGGGCGTGGTGCTGGCCACCCACCCCTCGTGTGCCGTGCCGGCCTTCACAGGAGCTACTCGCGAACAGCACTCGCCCCTACAGTCTGCTGAGGCGAAACCAGGGGGTGTTTGTTTGCGGGGAGCGGTAGTGCAAGGGTTAGCGCTACGCTGCACTACGAACACGGCGACCGGGGTTCGATTCCCGTTCACGGCCACCAACACCGGTGACGATTATCCGAACCGGTCCTGGGCTTCCCCTAGGTCGACTCAGCCTCAAATGAGTACCTGATGTGGTGTGTAAACATCGCCACTGGGGAGACAAAGGCGGCCGGGCGTGGTGCTGGCCACCCACCCCCTCGTGTGCCACAGCGCCGGCCTTCACAGGTGCTACTCGCGAACAGCACTTGCCCCCGACAGCCTGTTCAGGCTAAGTTAGCTGTGACGGCAAACCCAAGGATCCGGAGGAGACCCATGCATAACAGCGGGGGCAGGAGACAGAGAGAGAGACAGAGAGAGATAGAGAGAGATAGCGAGAGATAGAGAGAGATAGAGAGAGACAGAGAGAGATAGAGAGAGATAGAGAGAGATAGCGAGAGATAGAGAGAGACAGAGAGAGATAGAGAGAGATAGCGAGAGATAGAGAGAGATAGAGAGAGACAGAGAGAGATAGATAGAGAACGTACAAACGCCACACAGAGAGGAGAATGGCTGAGTCGGGAATCGAACCCAGGCCATCCTTGCTGCGAGGAACGAATGGTACCGCCGCCGCCGCTGTTGTTGCCTGGGGGGACGCCGGGTATCGGTGGTTGGGTAACACGGGGGGGGGGGGGCGCGGGGGGGGGGAGCGGGATGACGCTCGTCCACTGTTGATGGCTTCGGTCGTTCCTATGGCAACAAAAGGCTTTTGTAACCCGGGTCATGAAGTAGAAACAGCAGCAGCAGCGGCGGCGGCGGCAGGTAGGAGACGCACCGGCACGGACGCACACAACCCCCCCCCCACTCCCACCCCCCGCCTTGCCTTAGCGTGACAGGAAGAGGTAAAAGGCGCAGGCCTGCAATTGCCTTCTCACGTCACTGCTGGCGGACGGTGCCTCTGCAAATGGAAGTTCGAGATAGAAGCCCCCCCCCCCCACCCACCCCCCCACTCACCCCACCACCCACCCCACCACCCACCCCCCCACTCACTCCCCCACACCGCCCCCCCACTCACCCCCCCACCCCGCCCCCAGAGAGGTCTCCACCTTATTCTGCCGCGCCAAAAACAAATGTGTTGGGGGGGGGGGGGCAAAAAACGAATTGCGAGTACCCACACTGTGCCCCACCGCACGCGACCTGCCGATTGGCTCTGGTGAGGCCGTTTACTCTGCCGGGTGGACAGAGCCCCCCTCGAAGGGGTTTGCGTGCGGTGTTGGGGGCGGCGGGGGGGGGGTGCTGG